GTGCAGAAGTTATCCAGTTTCTGTTCTTGTTTTACTTTTCTCCTCCCGCCAATACAAATGAAATTACAAGAAATGCACAGGGTCATCGATGTGACAGAAGGAATGGGGGAGGAGCGGTAAATTTAAAAACGGAATGGCAAGAACTGAAATGAAACATGTAAAAATGTACATACATATGTATGTATATGTGCGTGAGCGTATGTTGCTCGATAGATAGACAAACAGATAGCTAAATTGACAGGGCTGGCGGGGAGTCGCAGTAGAGAGACGGGCCGATGCGCGACGAAGCGTCGTGTGAAGCAACAAGCCAAGTACATAATTTCGAAATGAATATGGCGACAAAAGAATTTTAAATATGTACGCGTATGCGTATGCATGCATGTGTGTAACTGAATGTGCGTCTGTGTGCGTGTGCACACACTTTTCCCCATTTCGGTTACTAAACGGAAACAAGCGATAATAAAATATTTACAACAGCAACAAAAATTAAAAAGAACAGCGGCAGAGATGTCGCGTCCGCAGTAGCCGCATAAATATTTCAAAGACTCACGCAGTCAGCGTCGCTGTCGACAAAGCAAAGCAAGGCAAGCAAAGCCCTGCCATAAGCAGCAAAGCGTGTAATAAGAATCATAAAAGTAAAGCACTGAAGCCTTCAACAACAACAAAAGCGTAACGCAGCAGCACCACAGCCATGTGCAAAAGTCATATGGGTGCTGTTGCTGTTATTGCTGATACTGCGTCGACTGCGACAGCGACCACAACTGAGACAGAGGCTGCGGCTGCGACTGGGGCTGCTGCGAGTATTGCCCGGCGAAAATACAACGAAATGCGCTCAACTGAGCGAATTTACTTCTGGGCTTTGGCAACTTCCGCCGCACAGTGTGCCAAGGCATGGCCTTGTGTGGGCGATTTCATGCCCGAAAGCTTATGAAATGTACTACTTAAAAATGGGAAGTAAAAATCAGTTCATATGAATACGAGACAAATTATAAATCGAAACGCACATCGAATCGAACAAAAGTTTATGCCTTGCCTGTGCATAGAATCGGAACTTGCATTAGAAGTCTAAAAATATGATCGAAAAATACATATAGACGTATATAGTCATTTCGGTTCAGGGCAAGCATCAACAATTAAGTTCACTACAAGGCTATATATATATCTAGATGTGTGTATACAATGAAATATGCGTGGAAAATCCCTTAAAGTACATTACAATAAAAATCACTCGAGAAAGTACAAAATAGACACAAATTCAATTACAAAGTTCAAGTGGAGTTTGTCCGTAATTGTTGTTATTTATTGTTCAAGATTTTTTCTAACCCCAAATATATGTATCTCTCTTTTCTTTGTTTTCTGTTCAATATTATCATAAGAAAAAACTAACGAAGTGAGTGTGAGTTTAGATCTAACTTTAGTTTCATTTAAACATTTTTTACCATTTTGGGCGAAATCAGCAGAAAATTGTGTTTTAAATATAAGCTAGTCACTTTTAGATGAACAAATACTTTAATTGTCTTTGTAATCATTCACTGTGGAATTTAATTTATTTGCTTAGTTTTTCTCTACGACAATTACATTGCAAATCAATGACAAATATCACACTGTGCTCTGTGTGTTCCATACTCCACATGCCAAAACTCACACTTGAACGATTTACTTCTAAATCGCGTGCGTGTGAGAGAGTAAAACGGTAAATGCTACATATGTGTGTGTGAAGTGGGCAATGTAATTAAAAAGAGTTGAGCAAATATTTGACGAACGTGCAGAAGCAATTAAACGGCCACACCACCAATAACAACAAAATGGGAGAGGAAGAAAGGGAGTGCGTGTCTGATGCGGGTGCCTTTTCAGGAGCTGCGGATGCGGGTGGCAGGATGACGCACATACCGTTACCATATGACTTTGCAAAAATAAAAGGAATTAGAATACAGGGACCGGCAGAACAAGAGACTAGACTTCGCGGCGTTGCCATATCCGAACACGAACGAATTTCGCTGCTGCATGCAGAAAAGTTGAATGAAACTACACAAATACGCTCACTGAGAGACTATGTGCGAATGTGTGTCTGCAGTTTATAGTAAAGAGCACAGCGATGAAGATAAGGCACAAAATAAAATGAAGTAAACAATAATATAAGCGTAAGGCATATGGCAGAGCGTAATCCCCCGTCCCTGTAGTATCGCTCCCTATCACTTGCCCACAATACCGGATTGGAACATTAAAGCAAAAGAAAAATAAACTGACGTCGATGTGCAACCGCCCCCGCAGACACGCACACATAAGACAAAAGCGAAACGCATTAACATTAACTGCCAAAAACAAAAACAAACAACTTCTCTCTACCTCTGCCTCGCTCACGCTCTCTTTTACTCCCCTCTCTGTTACACTGCTTTGGTTCGCTGGAGCTTTTGACAGTCAAGTCAACAGGGTTGTATTGCAGGAACAAATGAATACGTGTGTATGTGTATGTGTCTGTGTATGTGGCTCTTACCGCTTCAATGTTAACGTCAATTCGATTTCGATTGCCAGCAGCCCTGCTGTTGCTGTTGTTGTTGTTTGAGTTCTCTGCTCTTCAATTAAAAAGGCACTTTTAATTATTGCTTCATTTGCAGCATTTCACACGCGCATTTGTAGTTGTGTGCTTTGTATAAACAATAGCAGCTGGAGCTAATGGCTTTTGTTATTGTTGTTGTTAAAGGAACTTAATAAACGCGCAGCACAAACAACCACATTAAAAAAAATAAAAGGGATCAACTACAACAAACCCGAAGAGACAGCAAAAAGTTATTACCACGGCATAAGGCGCAATAAAATTGCGTATAAATGTGTGTGTGTAGGTTTGTAAATGCGACACAATAAAAAAAATATAACAAAATTTTAACTTTAACTGAGATGTCGCCTTTAATTGCCGCCGCGCGCGCTTATTACAATTTACTACTATTATTTTCCGTTTTCGTTTATCCGGTGCGCTGCTGTCACCGTCCCATACGCGCATCGGTCGAAAGATAAATGCGAGCAACGGCGACGACGCACTCACTATAAGCCTCACTCGCTCACTCGTTTGCTCATTCGCTCCGTCTCATGCTCTCACGCATGGCGGCAGCACCGAAGGTAACGCATGGCGTACGACGACAACATTCGCTGTAACGAGTGTGACGTCACATAAATTGTGAATGCGCGCAAGAATTTAAAAATAAATTAAACAAATTTTGCGCAGCACAAAATTTATAATAATTTTACACACATCATTAAAATAACGCCAAAGCGTAAATGAAAGAATTATAAAATGGAAAGAGAACGACTTCACCACACATATTTTTGCGATCCATTCATAGAACTTAATAATATAAACAAAATTTAAATATATCGTGTACCCTTATTGTGCCTTAGCAACAGAAAAAATGTTGCCCATTGGCAATACAGTTGAAGTTGGCAGCACTGACAATTACTTACGCAAAAACACAAACACATTACAAGGACTTGGCAGAAATGTGCCGTTAACTGTCAGCACTGTTGGTTGTCGCATGCTGTGCGTATCCTTGAAGCATTCAATGTTACTCGTTCGCCTCTTGACCATTGCTTTTTCTTTTCGCTTCTTTCATTTTGGCCATTTTCGGCACACAAAGCATGCGACACGTAATTGCAGTTAAATTTTATTGCAGTCACGTAGCACTGCAAAACAAATCTTACTAAAAGAAACAAAAAAAATAACAAGCGGGGGGTAAAAGGCAAAAGAAAGATTTAACCGCTGCGGCAAAAACAAAGAACGCAAAAGCAACAGAGTGCGTTGCTGTTCGCGGCTCCTTTTCTGCTCTTTCTTACTCTTGCAGGCAGTTGTTGTTGTTGTTTTTGTGCAGTATTCATACCTCAACGCCAGCGGCTGTTGGCTTTGTTTGTATGTTCATTTCTTTCTTTCTTTCTTTTTTCACTCTTTTTATTATTGCCCTTATATAAACAATTTCATTTTGAACTTCTGTTATTCCTTGTACTTGTTTTTTCTTTTCTTTTTTGTTTTTGCTTTAGAATTCATGCACGGTGAAAGTAATGGTCAAAAGTTCGTACCATGTACAAATCGGCAATTAAAGCGTTAGTACTTCTCGACTATGATTGCTGTTGTTGGTTGTTGATTATTGATATACCCTATTTTTCGTTATATGTACTAGATAGGTATGCTAAGTAAGCTATATATACGTAAAAGTAGATATATATATTTAATAACAAAAAGTAAACGTTTTCATATTATTAAAATATAAAAGAATTTGCCGTTTATTTTATTATTATTTATTAATTATTCGAAGTCTTTAAGAACTATTCATTGTATATCCCACAACAAACTTTAAGCTTTCTCCTTTACAGGGTATTTTATATTTACAGGGTATTTTATAGTGGACTCTGCCTTCAGTGTAAGCTCAAGTATTTTTGTTGTTTGGGTATTTCTTTAGCTGCAGCAGCTACAGCGGAGATTAATCATCAGTTGGTTAAATAGTTTTTGAGTCATTCGTTCCACGAGCTGCCCTGTTTTTATTTTATATTTTTTTTACTTTCGCGTTTCGAGCATTTGGCCAAGGTAGTAAGACGGCATGCACTTTGTACCTGGCAAAAACTCCCTTCCAACTCGCCCCCTTATAACGCTCTTTGACACACACACACACTCTTTCCATTGAAATCTTAAATTATTTATACACGTGGCCACGCCCCCTCGGCAGCCCACACGCAATCAAAGACAATCACTGCAGCAACGACTGCAACGGGGCTGCCAGCGCCACTGTCAAAGTTACTCATATGAAAAATATCTAATAAGAAAACCAATAAACTGCATGAAGAGCAAGCTCAGCTGACGGCTACGATACGGACTGCGACGCAGACACTGAAACGCAGCGCAACGGCTTGTCTGTCTGTGTGTGTGGGGGCGAATGCGAAGTGGAAGTAAAAGAGAAATACATTCAAACGCAAACTGACATACATATATACATACGAACGTGTGCGTATAAACTTACATTTGTTGTTGCTTCCAGGCAATTTAGCGTACTCTGTTGTCGTGGGTGCTGTTGAAGATGTTGTTGTTGTGTATGTTGTAGCTGTTGCTGTTGTTGTATCAGTTGCTGCTGCTGCGCGGCAAGAGCACCACAATCCATATTACGACGTCGACGTCCCAAGCAGGAGGCAGGAGCAGCAATTGGTGTATAACAAATCCAATAACAAAGGAACTGCAGCTATAGCTAAAATGGACGTGATCCGATTTAACGGCGCTTGCTCGCTCTCTTCTTATTTGCTCCTTCTTTTACTCTACAAGTCTCGCACACTCTCTCTTTACATATATACATACATACATACATATATATATATATATATATATATATATATATATATATTTTTTTTTTTTTTTTATTTATATATATATATATTCATATATAAATGTATATCGCGCGCGCCCGCTTTTGATCAGTTTGGCATAAATTTGCGACTGCGTTTTGAATTACAATGTGATGTGGAATTGGAATTGGAATAGGAAACCCGTTGCACTTATTTCAATTTCTGTTAAATTTGCATTTCTCTTGTGTTCCTCGCATTTGTCGTGTTTCGTGTGATTCGTGCTTCGTACTTTGTGCATGCCCATGCATTCTTAAACCGCTTCCTTTGCCTGTCGTTGCTGCCGCTATTGCTGTTGCTGCGTAGGCGAATGCTGTTACTCCAACAACACGATTAAACGAGCGTGCGAACACAACGTACGAACGAATGAACCAGCAAGCGAGCGAGCAACAACGAAAGACGAACGACGACTGCCGAACGAGCACGAAGTCAGTACGCTGGAGCTGGGCTGATGCTGCTACACCCACACACATGCATGCAAATGTCTCTTTGTATATTGCGTTTATTTGTATATTTATGTACGTTTGTGAGTTTTACTGCTTATGTGTTTGTGTTTGTGCGTGTGCTGTGTGTGTACTCCACTACAACTGCAACTGAAGTGCCGTTCCGTTTGCTGCTGGTCGCTTTTACTTCATTTTTCCTGTCGTTTTGTTATTCCTCGCCTCCAACTGATTCCTTTATACGCGGATTTTTTCTTGTTGAGTTTTTGGGTGTAGTCAGTCAGTCAGCCTTTTTGTTGTTGATGTTGCTGTTGTTGTGGTTGTTGCTATTGCCGCTGCTTTGGCTGCTGCTACTAGTGCTGCTGCGCTGATTGCATTTGATATCCATCTTAAAAACTAACATTTTGAATTGCTTTTATATTTGTACACAAATTTCACTTAATCTATTTGCATATGCACATATGCATCATTTATGTTAGAACCGAAAAAAATAAACAAATAGTACTATTGAGCTACGTAAAAACACCCGTGCGTAATTTCCACGAACTTATGTTTGTCGTGCGTTTTTCTGTTAACTGGGGATGTTGATATCGCAGCGATATCTATCGATATGGTAGACACGAAATTGTGATAGTTTCATATCACGAAGCTATCGTATTTGCTTGCATCGTAATAGACATCGTAAGATAATTTTACCCATGTGCATACGGTCATTAATGCACTTATAAAAACGAAAACTGTTTGTGTATAGAAAAAACACTTGCCAGAGTCACAAGCTGGCAAAACAAACCAAACCTGAAGAAATATAATACCACAAAGCTATGCATCGCATGCCAAGAACATCGATAGAAACTTCGATATCGTTAAAAGCACTACGTAAGCTTTTCAACAAGACGTTATTAATTTATAAAAAGTAACCGTCTAAATGAAGTCAATATATTTTTGAATATGTTGTTAAATGTTTTTTTTTTTTAAATATTATGCATAAACAACAAATTTATAAAGATAGATAAAGATATATTACAACTAAGGATGCTAAACATTGTATTATTTACAAATTATGAAGAATGGAAATCTGTGCACATTTTGACTGTCAATTATATTCCTAAAAGCAACGCCGACGGATTTTATTTGGCATTAAAATATGAATATAACAGAAGGGTCTAAACATTCGCATTTGTAGCTGTCTAAAAAAACGATAAGAATTAACAATAAGTGCAATCGATGGTCATCAAAACCTTTGTGCATCCCTGGCCTTGCAGACAATTGGCAGCACTGGTTCGCGACACATTGAAAGCTGTGCACTTGCTAGCTCACGGTGCTGCCAATCACGCGTTAGTCTCCCCTACGTTAGAGTTTAAATTCTGAAAATGAATTTGTGAATATTTAAAGATGTTTTTAATTTTATTTTTTGTCACGTTTTTAATAATCATACCGTTTATATTTACTTATTTACATTTATGATTTCAATTTGTCAACTGCCTTTGATTTTTTTATTTTTTTTTTTTATTTTCTTTCTTAACACTAAGACTTCGGGTTCCAGTTTTTTGTCACTTGTTTCTTCATCTTTTTGTAAAAAACACGCTCTTTATATAATTGTAGTTGCTGTCGCTTAACTACATATATATATATATATATATATATATATATATGTATATATATTATATATATATAGTTTGTTTTGTTTGGGTTGAAGTTGGTGTTGTTTCAGAGACGGAAACGGAAGTTTACGAATCGCATCTTAACCGATTAACAACATAAACTATTTTATTTTTTCATAAGTTGTGTTTCTTTTTGTTTTTTTTCTTGCCTAGATAACCGTTATGCAGCGCCAACAAAATATAGTTGCACTTAAAAAATTGTCTAAACAAATGATTCCATTTAACATATATATTATGTAGATATATAGTTTTCTGTTTTGCGCTATTTCTTTGTTTTACGTCGTCTCGCTTTAACATGTTCTTTACAATTTCACAACATAATTATTACATAATTATCGTTTAGTTTTCTGTTTTTCGTTTTCTTTGTTTTATAAATACGTATGTATAATATTTATTTATGTTTATAAAAGCGCATCATATATTAGAAAATAAAATAGGAAAAAAACGAAAATACAGTGCAAATTTACAAATTATGTTTGCTATTGTTTGTTTTGTTTTCTTCTTCATTCTATTGTGTGTTGCAACCGAACAGCTCTTCATGGTGTTTTTTCTTTTTAAATGTTTTTACCCGACTGGCTTTTTTAATTGTTTTATTATTATATTTATATAATATGTATAATTTGGGTTCTAAAATTTGACAAATCAACAAAAATTAATTTAAGAGTTAATTTAAGAAAAAAAAATAAAGGAAACTAGATAACTAAAATTTTATAAGACTTGCGCATCTTCTTTTTGTTCTTCTTATACTTGTTGCTGTTGACCAGAGCGCAGGCTCATAAGAAAACAAAAACTTATATATGTATATATATTATATAATGATGATTTCCAAAAAGTTCTTTTCCGTCAATCCGTTTGTAGTAGTGTTGTATAACTGTTTGCAGTCTGTCGTTCTGCTAAGTCGTCTCATCTCTTGCTATCGTTGTGTTTTAACTCTCCTCTCTAGCTCAGTCGGCAGCGCTGCGTCGGCGCACCAACTTGTAGCGACTGCGTCGCAAATGCGGCGAAGCGGCAGGGACTGTGTCTGCGACGCCGACTGTGCTACTGCTGCTGTTATTGTTGTTGCTATTACAGTCAATGCTGGTATGACAGTTAGTTTTGCACATATGCCATTTGCTCGGCGCGTTGCATGTGTACTGTCCGGCAACGCTAGCCGCTGCTGTTGTTGTTGCCGTTTCTGCTGCTGCCGATGCTGATGCTAGTGTGGGGCTGCGAACAAACCGATATTTGTTGAGTAGTCTTTGTTGTTTTTGCTGCTGCTGCTGCTGCTGCCGCCGTCGCTGCAGATCATTACAAAATGGCTGCTGGCGCTCATGTAGCCGACTGCTGCGTCGCTGCAAGCTGAACTTCGCCATTGGCGAGTACTGTCTAGGCGGGCAGCTCGCCGTTGTCCTTGTCGCCGTCCTGTGTGCTTCTTGTTGCTGCTGCTGCCCAATGTCACAAGTAGTCGTCGTTGTGGTGTTGTCGTTGTACCACAGTTGCTGCCGTTCCGTCGCCACAGTTCCACTTTCACTTCCCAGTCCGTGTCCCATTGTTGTCAATTGTTGTCCCGTTGTGTCATCGTTGGCGGCGGCGGCTGCTGCTGCTGCTGCGCCAATTTCCATTTCTACCGCGGCGGCAGTCGACGCGCCGGAGGGCGTATCTTCCGGCGAGGATTCTGCATGGCGCTGCCAGCGTTTGGTGGATTGAAACTGTCAAAAGGGATTGCGATTAGCTGAGGTTTTTTTTATGGTTTCATACATAAAACGCGCACGCCGCTGCATACAGTGAGTGACGCAGAGAGAAAGAGAAAGAGATCACATATAGCAGCATAGCCATTTGAAATAAACGAATGCTTTTGCTGCACTCTCTTGCATACACACATTCATACGCACACACATTTAGTTTAGCACATGACATACACACACACGCGCGCGCACACATGTATTTTGAATGATCAACATATGACATATAGACATTTACAATTTGTATGTGCATTACAAAATAAAACAATTCTTTTTGTTTTTGTTAAATGAGAAACATAGAAGTGCCTTAAAAAAATATTTAAAACGTATGCAATGCAAAAACTTGTAACGGTTAATAATGCATTTGTTATTTTTTGTATCAGTATTAAATCAACTGGTATACATATGTGTGTTTGGATATATATATTTGTGTGTGTGTGTGTGTGTGTGTGTTGTGTTGTGTTTCAATTCAACATTAGGCCAAATTAAACAAAAACACTCTTTCTCTTCCGTTCTAGCACACATTCTCTGCTCACTCTGATCTGTTTTACAGCAGATGTTAATGTTGCCATCTCTGTCACACTACTTACGCGAATATATTGGCTGGCGCGGGCGAACCGGCATTAAATTGGAACGGAGCGGCGTTTGGCGTTGACTGCAAAAAGATATTTGAGGGGAGAGGGGGGTTTTCGTTTTTAAAGCGTTTTTAAAGCGTTTTTAAATTTTAACAATTTTTTTGTTGTAATTAACTGGATTTTGTTTGTTTGTAGCTGTTCGTGAGCGCAAATGAAAATGTAAAAGGAAATATGCAAATAATTTTGCACTTAGTTCTTCCCTTTTGTGTTTTATTCGGTTGTCAACAGATTGCACTTCATTTGTTGCTGTTCAACACTATTTGGGAAATATATATATATAAATACTTATATATATATTTTCTGTATGTAAGTAGTAGGTGGTATGTACACATGTATATGTGAATTGATGTGATTGGTCTACTTAAATAAAAGCTTTTAATGGAATAACTGTAAATGCAAGAATGTAATGTTTGCTTGTGTGTGAAAGAGTGAGGGGAAATGGGTAGAGGGGAATTTCCTGTGTAAGTGTTATGTTAATTGAAAAGCTTATTTAAGGCTTGTCAAACATAGCGACTGATCATGCAGATATGAGAGAATAACCAACAACAATTATATTTATACACATGAAGAATATTACTTGTTAAATAGCAGTGTGCAGAATGGATTTAAAAGCATGCAGTATGAAAATTGATAAACTTATGGTATTTTGCAAAAATTAACTAAATACTTCTACATTAATAATAATAAAAAATACAATAGATATTTAATAAATAGAAAAATACATTCAGATATATATATATAAATATATATATATACACATTGATATTTAGTGATATATATTTATATATATATATATTAATGTATCTTAATCACGTTACTGTCCACGTTTTTTAGTTTACCTGCATTTGCTGCGCTGAGGCGGTAAAATTGAACATTTGATTATTGGCTGCTGGCATCATGGATGATGATGTTCCAGCATCCGCTGATGGCCCAGTGGCCCCAAATTGGAAAAGTCGTTCCGTTCTTGGAAATAACTTCAATGGGCCAACCGTTTAAATAGTAGTAGTAGTAATAATTGGAATAGTAGTAGGTGGTATTAATTGGTTGGTAGTTGCAGCACAGCACAGCACAGCGCAGTAGTAGTAGTAGTAGTAGTAGTAGTAGGTAGTAGTAGTAATAGTAGTATATGATAGCAAAAAATAGGTAAGAATCGCAAATTCGTGCCCGTGCCCGTGCCCCCCCCCAATAGGGTATACAGTTTACATAATTTTTTGTAGCGGTTTGGGTGGAGTACAATTGAATACATTTTGATTTTTTTCGGGGGGTTTCCAACAGTACATAGAGATAGAGAGAGCCGGACAACAATCAACAATGGAAGAGAAATAAAAAAAATAAAGACAAGAAAAATAATATAAGTACAAAATAAAAATATTACGTTTATCGCTGAGACTAAACTTATGGCGTGAAAGCTTCTGTCACCGATAAAAATCGATAACATAGGCAAACACGCACAATTAACGACATTTAACAACACTGCCGAAAATGCATGCAAATTAATTGTAGACAATATATATATATATATATATTAAAAAAAAAAAAACAGCCACTAACAGCAACAATATAATTGCAAATATTTATATATATATACATATATATATATATATATATATATATATATATATAAATATATATATAATAAATACATAAAATAGATATATATATATTTAGTTTACTTAAAACCATTTACTACGAGTGTTGCCTGGCTGTAGCTTATATATATATATAGATTTTTCTTGGTAAATATTTTTAGTGCTTTTAACTTACATCGCGGTTGCCCGCATTGCCAGCAGTTGCTGAATTCGCCGAAAAGTTAAATGCCGATGTCTGCGGTGCCACTTCCGTAAAGTTGAACGCTGGCTTTGGCAGCGCGCTGCTGCTGCCGCCCGCAGCGGCGGCGGCGGCATTCGAGCCAAAATTGAATACGCCGCTTGCAGGCTAAGCACAATAACAGTTATCAGTTGCTGTTAACATTTCAATAATCTTCGTGCACTTACCGTAGTTGCTGGAGCAAAATTAAATGCCACTTTAGGTGCTGTTGCGCCTGTTGCTGCGCCTGTTATATTTGATGTTGCTGCTGGTGGCTTGTTGCTGGAGCTAAATATGTTTGTTAGCGGCGAAGTAATGCTGCTGCCGCCGCTGTTTGCTGCAGCCGTGCTCGCACCGAACGGACTATTCAGATTGCCAAAGACCGTGGATATTGGCCCATTTCCGCTGCTGTTGCCAGCATTGGGCTGCGCCGCTGCTGCTGTTGCTGTTCCGGTTGTTGTCGGCGCTGCTGCTGCTGCTGCTGACATGCCAAATGGCGAACTGACCGCCAGCGGTTGCATTGCATTTGTAGTTTTTGTTCCAAACAAGTAGCTGCTGCCGCTGCCGCTGCCGCTGCCGCTGCCAAAAATGTGCAACGGTGCGGTTGTTCCAGCACTTGTGGCAGGACTATTGGCAAAAGGAGTTGCTGCTGCAAATGGAGTGGCTGCTTTCGATGTTGTTGCTGTGGGCCACCCAAAGTTGCTTGCTGTTGTTGTTGTTGCCGCTGTGTTGCTAGTTGCTGCTCCCAGATTGCCAGCTGTCGATGTTGCCGCCGGCCTGGGTCCACCAAAACTAAATGTTGATGAACTCGCAAAGCTGCTGTTGATGTTGTTGTTGTTGGCATTGGCATTGGCGCTAATGTTACTGACGCTGCCAAAGGTGAACAGCGGTGTGTTGCTGCTGGTCGGTGTACTAAAGCTGTTGCTGCTGCTGCTTTTAACTGCTGCAATGGAGCCAAAGATTCCGCTGCTTCCTGTTGCTGCTGGTGATGCTGCAATTGTTGTTGTCGCTGTTGATGTTGTTGCTGGCGAGCCAAAGAAGAAATTGTTGGTGTTGCTGCTGGTGGTGCTGCTGCTGCTGCTCAAGGTAGTTGTTGGTGGTTTTGCAGCTGCTTGACTGCCGAAGACAAATGTTGGCGCTGTTGAGGCGGCCGCAAAGCTAGCCGTTGTAGCAACTATTGCTGGTGACCCAAAGCTTGGTATAGACGCAGCTGTTGCTGTTGCTGTTACTGTTGGTGTCTGTGCGCCAAAGAGCACTGATGTTGTCTTTGTTACTGCTGCTAACTGTGATACGCTGCTGCTGCTGCTGCTAACGATATTGTTGCTGTTGTTGCTGCCGAAACTGAACATAGGTGTTGATGGCTTAAAGGTGCTGCTGCTGCCGGTGCCTGGCGTACTGATGCTGCTGCTGCTGGAAACGACAGCTGTACTTGGCGCAAAGCCGCCCAAATTGAACAAACTGGTGACTGCGGGCTTCGCTTCGGCCACGTTTGCCGATGTTGTTGTTGCTGCAATGTTGCTGCTGCCAAATGAAAATGTTGCTGGTGTTGTTGCTGGCGTAACTGTCGCAGCTGTTGCCGTAAACAAACCCAGCCCGCTGCTGGTTGTTACCGTTGCAGCATTGCTCTTTTTTTCCAACTGTTGCTGCTGTGCTGTTGCTTGCGCGCCAAATTTAAAGCCAACTGTTTTAAAAGCTGTGTCTGCGCCAAATTTAAAAGTATTTAGATTTGTAGTTGTTGTTGCGTTGATTGACGTTGTGGTTGGTGCTGCCGTTGTTGTTGCATATGATGCTGATAGTGGCTTGTTGCTATCGGCCACGTCGTTTCCAGCTGTTGCTGCTGCTGCTGCAAAGCCAAATTTGAACTGCGGGGCAGCTGGAGCAACACTGGTTGTTGCTGTTCCTGACGTAGTTGTTGTTGCCGCTGTTGCTTTAGCTGGGAAGCCAAACATAAACTTGGGCACATCCGAAGTGCCGGTTGTTTCAGCACTTGCACCTGGCTTCAGTTGCTCACAGCAAATGCATTTGTTGCGGCTAATATCGTTCTGTGCCATGCATGCCTCACAATTCCAGCTGCTCGACTTTTGTGCCGCAATCAGTTGTTGAAAGCCGGCATCTGCTTTCGGCTGCTCAACAGCTGTTGCAGCCCCAGCTGCTGCAAAACCAAATTTGAAGCTGCAACTGTTGTTGTTGGCAACGCTGCTGTTGCTACTGTTGGTGTTGCTGCTGCTCTTCGGATTGGGTGTCTGGCAGGCAAGGCATTCATTGAGACTGGCCGGATTCATGATCATGCAACTGCCACATTCCCACATATTGGCCGGGCGCTTGAAGGCATCACCGAAGCCCGTGGTAAAACTGTTGCTGTTGTTGTTGTTGCTACTGCCAAAGCTGCTGCTGCTGTTGCTAACGCTGTTGCTCACAATATTGGACATACACACCGGTGTGGCATTGCTGTTTGTTTTGCGCGGCGTCTCGCATGCAATGCACTTGTCACTCTCATCCTTGTTCGACAACATGCACGCGTTGCACTCCCAATTGCTGGCTGGTTGTTTGAAGCGAGCTCCAAAGCCGCTGAAGCCCAGCGGAACAGAGCCACCCGTTGGCGCTGGTGCTGCTGCGGGTGCTACTTTTGCCTTTGGCTTGGGCGTCTCGCAGGCAGCACATTTCTGCAACTCCTGCTTGTTGCGCAACATACATGCCTCGCACTCCCATTCGCTGACGGCTTTCTTGAACTGATCCCCAAATCCAGCTGCTACCAATGGAGCTGATGTAACTGTTGTTGATGCTGCTGCTGTAGACTTGGGCAACTTGTAATCGTTGCTGTTGTTGGTTGTTTCGCCATTAACCTGCAGCGATTTGGGCGTTGCAGACATCAGCGACTCATCCAAGTCAAGGGGCGCCGAGAATCTATATAACATTTGTTTTTTAACACGTTTTTGGGGTAGTGCAGACGCCGTGGTAGGTTCAGCGCATGCAAGCGGCATCGGTGTTGCAAATAGAAAACGACGGCGACGACTGTTGTTGCTGCCGACGCCGCTGTTGTTGTTGAGCTTGAGTTGCTTGTGTGTCTGTTGCTGAGCAGATGCAGTTGCAGTTGTTAATCCGCTGGGCGGCGAAATAATTAAATCGAATTTCGGCTCATTGGCCATCAACGGAAAACGTATATTGGGCAAATCGAGTGGCGCTGGCGGCAACTGTTGTTCCTCCGCATTGCGCGCATCCTTGCGCAGCTGATGGGACAGACGCGAACGCATCTTATTCGTATGACTCTGGCTGCCCGAGCACATTGTGCTGGTATTGGAACTGTTAGCTGCCAAATTTGCAGTCTGCTGTTGACGGTGTATCAACTGTTGCTCCTCCAACTGCTTGGCATCGATTAAAGCACGCGTACTAGGCGCCACACGATTCAAGCGACGACGTTTGAGTAATTGCAGCATGGTCGGCACCAACAACTTGGAGCTATCATCGAAGTCAGCAACAGAGCTGTTGCGATTGTTGTTGCTGCTGCTGCCAATTAAATGATTGGGATAGGCATAGGGTTTGCTACTGTTGTTGCTGCTGCTGGCTAAATGTCTGGAGTTGCGCTGCAATTTGTGTTCACGCAGCGTGCTGCCCATTTTCTGAGCATCCATTAGAGGCGTTCGATGATTCTCAAGTAGATTGAGTATACGTTGAGCTGTCAACGATAGACCAGGCACATTGGCGGCGCTGCTATCGTTGACAGCGCCAATCGAGCTCAGATTGGCACGGGGACGCATCTCGAGGGGCTTCATGCCATAGCTGCCACCATTGTTGCCGATAGTTAGTTGTCTTCCCATTAACAATGGATTGCTGCTGCTGCAGACGCTATCGCTATTCGATGGCGCCGGCGAGCTGCCGCCCGAATTGATAAAGTTTGGCAAATTGCCTTGACTAAAGCAACGATTGTTTGCCGAACTGCCGCCAAAGGCGGTGGGTCCCTGATAAAATGGTGAATTTCCAGATATGATGCTGCTGCTGGTGCTTAACAGTCGGCTATCGCTCAGTGCCGATGTGCTGCCATATATTGAGGCGTTGAAACGGCGACGATGATTTAGTGAGTTGAGCGATAATGTTGAATTATGATGATGTTGATGCTGCTGCAGCATTGATGAGGCGGAATTTCTATTGAACACCGATTTGCGGCTCTGTAAGTTACCATAAAATAATGAGTTGCTATTGCTATTGTTGTTGTTGCTGATGATGTTGTTGTTGTTGTGCATACGTCCAGCCGCCTGGCTCTCATTACTCTCGCATTCAGATTGAGAATCTGTGCTACGTTTAGTCAGTTTTATATTATTATTATTATTATTATTGTTGTTATTGTTTGTCTGCTGCTGCTGCTCCTCGTTGGGTGCCTCCTCGCTGATGGTCTGATAGCTGCGCCAGTTGGGCATTAAGCCGCGATGACCCAGCAGCGATTGTCGCTTATAACTGGGCAGCGCCGTCTCGCGACGTTCAGTCATTGGCGCAATATTCAATGAGCGTCGCGAACTGCACCAATGCAAGATTATGAGATTAGCATTTGAGATTTCAATTGTGATATATTACGAAAACTTACCTCATTGGCAAATCACCGCTGGTGGCAACAGCCGCTTCGCTGATGCTGTTGATGTTAGTGCTGCTGCTGTTGCCACCGGACGAGGTGGACATGAAGTTGTAGGCGGGCTCACGCTGACGCTGGTTTCCGTAGAGGTTCAAATGCGTTGAAAAGCGATTCGGTGTAATGTGGCTGCGCACCGCATCGCTAACAGCGGGCGTTGAGGAATGCAGCTGGGGGCGACGACGCTGCTGTGCATTAAACTGAGGACTAATCGTATTTTCAATCGGCTGCAAGCGAAGCAAAATTAAATCAATTATAGCTTAAAAGTTATCAAAAATATAGTAATAAATAGTCACAGTTATCGATTAACTTGAATTGTCATATAATTATCAACTAACTTCAATCGATTACAAACTGCTTGGCAAAAGAGCCAGCAGAATTTGCAAACTAAGGTATTTGAATAGACAACGTAACTGCAGTTAGCTTTGCATCGATATGCAACATATATCGATAACGATAACTTACCTCCATACGCTTGCGCTTTTGTAGCGGCTGTGCCGTACTACTGCGAAAATTAACACTGCGATTTGCCTGCTGCGTTCGATAGTTGTTTTGCTGTGCACCATCATCGATCTCGTCCTCTTCCTCTTCCTCGCCCTCTTCATCCTCGTCATCGTCGTCGTCGTCATCTTCGCTTGCGATCAATTGACGTTTACGCAATAAATTAACATTATATTCGCTGCGACGCGTCTGCTCATCCTCGCCGGCCAGATCGTGTTCGGCTATATTATCGGCCAGCTGGACTTCTTCTTCATTAAGATCCTGCGCACTAGTACCATCATCAACGGTATTATCGGGCGCATCATCTGGTTCCAATTGTATGCGACGTCGACTGCGTTTCGGTTTAATTTGTGTTGTCAACAAGGTGCTACCATTGTGCTGAGCCGTCGACTGTTGCATTTGCGAGGACGAGGATTCTTGTGCCGCTGTGCCTGCGGCATTGTTATGTAGATCAGCAGTGGGTGAGAACCATTTGCTTAGTGAATCCGGAAGTATGCTAGAGACGCGCAATTTTACTTTGCCCATGATGGACTGCAGAAGGGATGGAAGGCAATGATTATATGAGAGGGAAGTGCAAAGACAGCTGCAGCTGTACTTACATTATTATTGTTGTTGGTTTTACTGCTGCTGCTGCTGCCGCTGCTACTACTGCTAGTGTTGTTGTTGGCGCCTTCATCAGTAAGTCTCAGTGGAGTGCGCGGCTGCGAAGAATCAGTTTGTTGTTGCTGCTGCTGTTGTTGTTGGCCATCCTCAAATGCGGACATCATTGGATTTTAGCCGGCCCCCCGTACACGCACAAAATGCAACACTGCATACACGCATACAATCACACGACAAACTAAAGAGAAAAGAATAAAATTAAAATTAAGGACGGTCACACTGCAATTCCGCGTGAGCGTCTCTGTGTGTGCATGTGTGTGTGTGTCAAATGCGAGTCTTTGTGTACGTGTGTATTTCTTTTCTCAATGTGTGTGAGTGTCACGATGAGATTCCAACACACGCGGCGCTCTCTCTCTACTATAGCTCAAATTTAGCGGTTTCTGCTTCTGGACCAACACCAGTTTGCACTTTGGCGCCACGATCGCAGAGTTTTTTTTATTTTTAATTTTTTTTGTTTCGTTAATTTTGTTTAACACTAAAAATGGTTGGCCTTGCTTTGAGTATGAACGAGAATTTTGTTGCTTGAACTATTTATAACGAGTTCCAATTTTTTTTGTTAGTAATTAATTTGGCAATTCACTTTTTATTCAATTTTTTTTATTTATTTATATACTTATGTATATAATATGAGCCACGCATCCGTTTGCACACACACTTACCCCTCCCCTCCCCTAAATGATGGGCTGTTATTGCTTTATTAGCGCATTTCACGCCGCGCGCGCCTCTTTTGTCTGTTTTACGCAGTCTTTGGCCTCTCTTCCACGCTTTTTTGATTGCTGAACATAGAATTATTTCTTTTCTTTTTTTATGTCTTGCCTTTTTTGCTCTTTCGCAATTCGTAGTTTTTTTATTGCACACACACACACACATAAACTGACTTCAACGTCGCGTTGCGGTCGAACTGTGCGTCGCCGTCGTCGTACTTTGCATTCGGCCCAACAAAAAAAACGCACCACGCACGTACTCAATTTAATTTGTAAGCGCACAAAGCTTGGGCATTTGACTCATTTGTCATTTATTGTTTAGCACATACATATTGTGAATTTATCGTTTAACTAATTAAATTGTTTAATTCGCACACTAAAAAATAAACTGAGGGCGAAAAAAAGCACGATTTGGAAAACGCGTGTGTGCCAGGGGCAACGAGTAGCGGATAATCATTGAACGAGTGACGAGTGACGAGAAATAAAATGGCGCCGATATCTCTGCGTGCGGCAATTTGCGTTAGCTGCATTACACAACAGTGTTGTAAATTTAACCAACTATCGTCAAAAAGCGCGCTTCGATTATTTCAAAGTTTTAATTTGTGTACAATCATTTTGCTAAGAGTAATTTTTCTGTAAGTATAAAAAGCAATTTGTACTTAATGATTAATGGTCATAGCCGCGTTTGACAACTTTCGGACATCTATGAATGTTTATTTAGTGACACGTCGATAGTTATTGCACAATTTACGAAAACGATATTTAGTATTTCGCTTCATTTATAAACGATACAATTATTAACATTGTTGTTTTACATCGCGAGCATGATATATAATTTTCTGGCTTATATAAACAATTTTTGTAGTCATGCTCCGATAGATATTGCTCAGTATATAATTTAAGATATACGGTATATCGTTTATGCTGTAATCGATACTTAATGAAAGAACGCATAACTAAAATTTCAACAGCTTTTGCTTGCCTCTATCGATATCGATATACTCAGACTTACTGAAATCGATAGCGCGATTTATTTAATACGATCTTAAGATTTATACTTTTGCCACTTAACGTTGCGCGCGTCGTCAGTTCGGTCGTGTTTCTCTAAATTCTATTTTTGTACTCGCAATCCTATCAAGATGTCCAAGCCCGCGTACAAAGTTGGTGAGTTATAAATAAAATCAGCGCATCCTAATGCCGGCAAATGTGCACACGGACACACATACGCATGTTTTTTTTCTTTTTGCAATATGCATGCGCACATGTTGTCAGAGGTTAAAGCACGTTGTGTTAATCGTTGTTTATATTGTGTGCGAATTATATCTTATCTTTGTCTACCTTCTAGCCGATATCAGTCTCGCTGAATGGGGTCGCAAAGCGATTATCATTGCGGAGAACGAGATGCCCGGTCTGATGGCGTGCCGCAAGAAATACGGCCCATCGAAAATCCTAAAGGGCGCCCGCATCACCGGCTGCCTCCACATGACCGTCCAAACGGCCGTGCTCATCGAGACCTTGGTCGAGCTGGGCGCTGAGGTAAGTCTAGAATCGATGCTAGCTCTGTTACTATGTGCTTGTCGTCCTTATCGAAAATCGAACAAATAACAATACCGAAATTTCTATTTTTCACGCTTGGGGGTCGCGCGTGAGTTCAAGGCGCATCGCTGATAACGAACAAGAAACAAATAATCTCTGGAGGGATCATTAGGGGTCACAGCACAAGAACCAGAACCCATTGATATGCTAAGTTGTTTACTTCCATATGTAAATTCATTGCTTTGTCGTCATAAGATGTGAAGGCATATTCGATCTTAATCAAGATTTTCTTTATCAACAATTCCGTTTCCGTCCAAATATGTTCACTTTGGTGTCATAGATGATAATATTAATAGCTCTGATTATGGCAATTTCGTCACAAATTTTGTAGGAAGGTTTCTTTAAGCTATATTACAAGCCTAAAACTATATCTTTCACGCTTTAAATATTCCCTCACTCTATTAGGTGCAATGGTCGAGCTGTAACATATTCAGCACACAGGATCATGCGGCAGCAGCAATTGCTGCCACTGGAGTGCCAGTGTATGCGTGGAAGGGTGAAACCGATGAGGAATACATGTGGTGCATTGAACAGACGCTCGTCTTTCCCAGTGGCGAGCCGCTGAATATGATTTTGGATGATGGCGGTGATCTGACCAACTTGGTGCATGAACGCTTCCCCGAGTATCTGAAAGGTATCAAGGGTCTCAGCGAGGAGACCACCACCGGTGTGCACAATCTGTACAAAATGTTCAAGGAGGGTCGACTGGGCGTACCAGCGATCAATGTCAACGATTCAGTGACCAAGGTGAAATCTCTTGGATTGATTTGATTGATTCATCTTATTCAATGTCCATCTGTCTCTTTTATGCAGAGCAAATTCGATAATCTGTATGGCTGCCGGGAATCTCTAATTGATGGCATTAAGCGTGCCACGGATGTCATGATTGCGGGCAAGGTTTGCTGTGTGGCTGGCTATGGAGATGTGGGCAAAGGCTGCGCACAGGCTCTGAAAGGATTCGGTGGCCGCGTGATTATCACCGAAATCGATCCGATTAATGCGCTGCAGGCAGCGATGGAGGGTTACGAGGTAACCACTATGGAGGAGGCCAGCAAGGAGGCCTCTATCTATGTTACCACCACCGGCTGTCGGGACATTATCACATCGACGCATCTGCTCAATATGCCAGACGATTCGATTGTGTGCAACATTGGACATTTCGATTGCGAGATCGATGTCGATTGGCTAAACAAAAATGCCAAGGAGAAGGTGAATGTTAAGCCGCAAGTGGATCGCTATACGATGGCCAATGGCAACCACATTATCCTGTTGGCCGAGGGTCGTTTGGTCAATTTGGGCTGCGCCCATGGCCATCCCAGCTTTGTGATGTCCAACTCATTCACCAACCAGGTGCTCGCCCAGATCGAGCTGTGGACCAAGTCCAGCCAGTATGCAGTCGGCGTGCATGTGCTGCCCAAGCTGCTCGACGAGGAGGTGGCCAGCCTACATTTGGAAAAGCTGGGAGTGAAGCTCACCAAGCTAACAGAAAAACAGGCCAGCTACTTGGGTGTGCCCCAGACGGGGCCCTTCAAGCCCGACCACTATAGATACTAACACGCCAAACACTCCGCCATCGATTGACGGCGTTTTGCGATCATGTGTTATACGTTATTGCATTTATCCTAAGATCCAATAAAATCAAAAACTGAAGGAATTTACTCACTTTTTGTAATTCAATATTTCACGTCGATTTCTTTTTAATTTAATTAATCCAATCTACTTAATATGGGGAAAGCGTTGATTGACTCCTAATGAACATCTAGAATAGGGGGATTACAAAGTAATTATAAAATTGCTAATTCAGTTTAAATGAATTTTATAAAACTTTTTCAACAATTTGGCATTTTTGTTCATATAAAAGGAAACATTTCCTTAATAAATATAAAACAGGAACGGGGTATGCATGGGAGTATTTTGGTTTATATAAGATATAATAATTAAAAGTTAGGCATTTACTCACTTTCATTTAAAATTCAGCGTATCGCTATTGAGGGATGTGTTTTTAGTTTTTTTTCTTTTAATCTTGCTTGATCACTCGTCGTACAAATTGGTATTAATGTGAATATATAGAGTCGAATACATATTATATTGCCTAAGCTTTGTGTGGAATTGGAATGTTAAATTGAAGCCTACTCAGTTTTAGGATCTGAGCGATTTGAGTTCTTAATGAAATTAATATTTGCTTTTTAGGTCAGCTTTTGTTTTGACATATATAGATATTTAAATATTAGTTTAGAAGTAACTCCTAGCTGAACTTCAATTAACATCCTAGTTTTGGTATTTTTACAATACTGGCTCGCATCTCAAAAACTAAGTATATCATCCAGTGTTAATTAATTTCAGAAAGCAGTTTGAAAAAAGAAAACAGCGCTTAAAGTGACGGATCGGCTTGTTATGCACTAGCTCTCTTTGTCTCTCTTCCGCACTCTTTGAATCGCATACCATACTTGCACGCACACACAAGCTCGCACACACACACATAGTTACTTTTGCACGCTAGAGAGCACACACAGGCACACTTCTTTGTTGACAACCTGTGTGAATATAACTGTTATTACTTTATGTATGTACGCTTTGCTTTGCGCTTTGCAAGGGCGCCGTCAGAAGGGAGGCAGGCTTATATCATATTCTATATAACTATAAAGTGTAAAGAAGTGTCCTTTTTATTTATTATTTTGTCTTGAGCATAACTCGCTATCGTAAGCAGAGTTTCACCCCTGTTGTCGTTCAACCTACGTGCATGGCGCTATCTGCCGTTGTTGTGATTCTGTGCGCTTAACACGCTCTCACAGCAAAAGAGTAGTTAGAGCTGTTTCACACCTCATCTAGCTCTCTCTCCCACTCTCTTTATTGGTACCATTTACGTTTGTCGCTGTAAATAACTGCACAGACTTTCATTGCAGTACCAACATACACACGGTACGCATTTAGTGTTTTTTACTTCATAATTTATTGACAACTTGTTGAGTGCGCGATTACGAAATAAGATTTGCTTGCATTTGCAATTCATTCACTAGTGGATTGCAATGTATGTCAAAAACGTTTGCCTGTTTCTGGCACTGATGCTGGGCCAACAGGTGTTGCCCAGTGCCAGTTGGCAGGCGCGCTTTGAGCCTGCGCTGCTCCAGCTGGAAATGGAACGCAGTCACACAGTGCATCTAACACTGTCGGACATAACAGATGAACTGCAGTTGGTGAAAGGTCGCTACAGCTTCCGCCTGCAAAGTACAGATGCTCAGCTAGCCAGCGTGCCGGCTGAAAATTCTAGCATATCTATGGAGGAAGTTCAACACAATCTCTGGAATGGAAGCATACGTATCGATGCATACTTTCTTGGCGAGGCCAAGATCCAAGTGCGGCTCCACGATGCAGTCACAAATACCAGCTCTGCGCCACAAAATGCTGCCAGCAATGATAGCACGCTGCTGGTGCAGGTTGTGCGACCGCAGCGGATCATCGATCACGTTTTTGTCGGCTCCATCATCTTGCTTATGTCCCTGGTTTATATCAATTTTGGTGCTGCACTCAACGTGGATGTACTGCAGGGCTTGATCACACGCCCAATCGGGCCCTGCATTGGTTTCATCACCCAGGTGCTGGGCATGCCGCTCCTTAGCTATGCTTTGGGTGTCTTTATTTTTCCCGATTCGCCGGCCATGCAGTTGGGCCTGTTCTTCACGGGCATCGCACCGAGCGGTGGTGCATCCAACACTTGGTCAGCGGTGCTAAGCGCCAATATAAATCTCTCTGTGCTAATGACCACTGTCAGCAATGTGGCTGCCTTTGCCACGATGCCGTTGTGGGTCTTTACGCTGGGTCAATTAATTTTCGAGCGTGCTGGCATGGTGCTGCCCTATGGCAAGATCGCCAGCTACTGTGCCGCGTTGATTGTGCCATTGCTTATCGGATTGGCCATACAACGCTGGCTGCCACGCTTGACTCAAGTGCTGGTCCGCCTGCTGAAGCCCATCTCTGCATGCCTTATACTCTTTATTGTGATCTTTGCGATTATCACCAACTTTTACCTGTTTCAGCTATTCTCCTGGCAGGTGAGTAACTAATTGATATATAACTCAATTTGTAAGCAATTGTTTTTGTTTTTAGATCGCCTTGGCGGGTTTGGCTCTTCCCGGACTTGGCTATGCGGTTGCCTGGCTGGCGGCCAAGCTGTTGAACCAAAGTGCTTCTGACTCATTGACCATTGCTATTGAGACGGGCATCCAGAACACGGGCATTGCGATATTCTTTTTGCGCACCACCTTGGAACAGCCGCAGGCAGATCTGACCACAGTGGTGCCGGTGTCGGTGGCCATTATGACACCGCTCCCGTTGCTGGGCATATACCTATATCAACGCTGTTTTCGTCAGAAAATTGGGGAAACCACAGCCGCCGAGCATCAGCGCATTGTCTAAAAGAATATAGGGCATAGAAACAACCACTTCGCTTCCAGTTTTCTATATGTTCTTGCAAGAATGTGCAATTGTTTACAACATAGTTGTAGATTATATATATATATATATATATATATATATATAAATATTTGATAGATTATATTTCGTATTGAACACAATTTGAAATCTGTAAATCTGTTGCAAGGAACACGAGAGTTTAATCAGAGTACTCGATACCTAACAGCGATATCGATAACAAGACCGGTTCTATAAATGGTTTTGTACTTGTTTACTTCAACGTTATTTTAGCTAACAACGATATCGATAACAAACCAGTTTTATAAATGGTTTTACATGGGTTTACTTCAACGTTTTTTTTTTTAGATAAATTACATTTCTTATTTTGATAATTTGAACAGCAAATCTCTGTGTTAAAGGCATTTAAGTATATCAAGTACTGCGAAACACAACAGACAGTATTGTAACTCGACGTTAAAGCTTAAACTAAGAATTGAATAACTGGCGTGGGGCTGCCAACGGTTTTAAGCCTTTGAGCGATAGTCAAGATAATTGTGCACTTATTTGAATGTGTAGAAAACAGGCTCATGCTGTTGTTCAGCACCTTCGGTGGCCAAAGCTTGGAATATTTTAAGCACACCATATATGGTGTGCGGACTTAACTGCAATTTGTTAAACTCGATCATGATGCGTAGATAGTTAACCGGACCGCTGCTCAGGTCAATGCTACTTAACATATTTGGCATCAAATTAAAATAATTGATGACACAAAAGACACGCTGCAGATCCTGTGCACAGATGCTGGCCACATAGCTTGGCTCCAGACGCTTCTGGGTCAGAAATTCGCGCAATGGCACACAAAATTCGCGTGCCGCTTGCTCCAGACTCAGCCTTGAAATCTCTTGCATCATTTGTATCAGTTCCACAGAGATGAGCGAATGCTCATCATTGGGACTTTTGCCCAAGTATGCTTCAATTAGCTTCACCTGCCACACATCGTTGTTGTTGGCCATCTGCTTGGTGACATGCTGCAGAGAAAAGACAATGCTTTAAATGAAGATGAATAATCAACACACACTTACATCGTAGAGCGTTAGGTATACGGGCAACAGATGCATACGATCCTTGACCACTGCATTGTAGAATAGAAGCATCAATTGATGCCGCTTGCTCAGCTCCGCATAGCTGAGATCCGTGCCCTTCGTGTCCAGAAAGCGACTGAGAAAGGGCTTCACCAGCCGTTCGCTGGCAAACTGCTGTAAATCATTCACATCCACCTGCCAGCAAATGCTTTGCTCCATGGTCAACGTTTGCGCTAGCATGCTCTTCAAACGATCCGGATCCTCTAGATGTGATAGGCGTCCAGTTCGTTTCTTTATATCAATAGGAGCACTTAGCTCCAATGCCTTTTCTAGCTGATGCCAATTACGCGAGCGTTCAAAGCAGATCGGCCAATAGTTCTCATCATCTACAATGACCTGCTGAAGCGTACGCAACTCTGGCAAAATGCAAGGAGCAATGGGAAGGCGGCGCAGCTTCGTAGAGCCCACCTCCAATACCGAAATGTTGCACAAGCAGAGCTGATGAGTGTCTATGTCGCGTGGCAGGAATAGACGCGGCTCCACGGACAACACATAGAGATGACGCAGCGCCTGCAAATGATATCTGAAAGAGCGCACACAATTTCAATATATATAAATATATATATATATATAGAGACCACCCACCGATTGTCGTTGCTGTGTATGGGAAACTTGGGGAAGAAGGCACAGACCAGAGATGCAATGGACTCTGGTGTTTTGGCAATGGTAAAGCGGCCGGCGCCCAGGAACAGCAGTCCGAGCGACATATGTATTGCCATATGAGAGCCATAGGTTATATGCGGATATTGGGGGCCAACGCGTGATCTTAAGAACCGGATTATGCGCAAGATTTCACAATTGCCAGAGCCGGCAAAGACCAACGATATGGATATGAGCAGCACCATCAAACAGCTCTCGATGGTGGTTCGACCGGCACACTCGCCCATCGATGTGCCCGGAAAACTGAGGAATTCCTTGATGACAGTGCGCAAAGTGGTGAAGGCCACTGGATGCTCACTGCCTGCATACTTCAAGCCAATGCAAAAGGCCGCACCAGCCAAGATATTACAATAGGCTTGCCTGCCAGTAGAAGTATTTATAGTCTTTATATCAATAGTTAGGGAATTAGGATTTGCTTACGTAATGGCTTCGTAATCCACGTCGCTATCCTCGGGTGGCTCATCTTCGCGCGTGGGCAGACGCAGATGTGGCCGCAGGGCCTGTGGAAATTGGGCCTGGAACCAATCGTTGTCCGGCTGCACCTGCTGCCAAAGTATCAAGCCACGTGCAATGGTGCGCAACAGAAGGAAATCAGGTCTAACCATATCTAGCAGATAGCGCGAATTCGGCGGCTGCATCCATTCAGCAATTGCCGTATTGCCCGAATCGAAGAACATCAGACCCAGTGCCAAGGTAGCACCCGGTGCGGTGACATCGATATTAACGCTATCACCTTCGCGCACCTGAAACGAGGCTAGGCGATATTTCTCCTTCTGCGAGCCGCCAATGGGTCGCTTAACGCCGCCGACCATATAATAATGCAGCGTATCCGGCAGCTGCAGATCACGCAATCCAGCTGGAGATTCCCCCTGACCCAGTGTAACTAGTCCAAGTGCCAGACCGGCAGTCATTGCATAGGATTCACGTTCCACGCTATTCTCCATCTCAGGACCAGGAGGACGTCCAATTTCTTGGAGCAGCACCTCAGCTATATGCCGCTTCGCCGAGCCCTGATAGAGCAGGCCAATGCCCATCAGAGCAGCCACTTGAGTACTTTGTGGTATGTCCAGCTCCATGGCTGTGGCCGGCAGCAGCGCCTCCAGGTGGACACTCAGCAATTTGGTTGTCTTGGTGTCCATGCTGCCGCGATGCGCTGCCGAGATGCCAAGTAGCAGGCCAACGCTGGTCATCTCATCACATTTGACCAAATACTTGTAGACGCTCATAAAGGACAGCGACTTGAGATGCCCATTGAGGCCGAGGGCCATTAGGAATCCCGCATGCTCCAAGGCATTGTTCGCCTGCGTCTTTGGCTTGTTGTAGACAATCCATGTGGAATCGATATCTAACGCTTGTGGCGAGATCTTTAGCCCGGTGGCGACGCCATTATGGAATGATGGCCACATGTGCATATTGGCCGGAAACTCAATCTGTTGCATCTCAATGGTGGTGCCCTTAACTGGCTCACGGCCCACCAAACAGAGCTTGGGCATGGGCATATTGTCGCTTGGCCGCGGCATTAGGGTGCGTAAAGTGAACATGCCACGGCCCAGGGGCAGCGTCATGGTGCGTGCACATAGCGCGAATAATTGTTTCTCCTGCTCCTCGATGAATTCGTGATCGCTGGTGCCTGGCGATTGTTGCACCTCAATCGCAACTGGATCGGCGCTGTTGAGTAGACGACGCACCTCCTCGACGCGCATGTCGTCGGGAAAGCGTAAACGCAAAAGCTTCGTGTCCATATTGTCCATGCCATCGTGTCGCAGCTGGTCGGACTCTGGCTCCGGCATCGGCCACTCCCCGCTGCTTGGCGCAATGCGTGGCGACAGCGAATCTTCCTTGTAGACACGTCCACAATGCGGCTGACCCAGTGTGGTTTCGAGAAAGGGTAATTGGGCATGCGCAGCCAGTTCAGGTCGCAGTATCAGCTCGTAGGTGGCCATGCTGCTGCCCATGGGCGGCATGAGACGCGCCTGTTCCAGCGCCTCAGCAATGACCAAATGCACCGCAGCAGGCAGACGTTCGATATCACGTCTGGTCAGCTGCATGCACAGCAACAGCTCCAGCACCTGATGACAGCGCGGCACATCCGCCGAGATGCTGCGCTTGGGGCGTTTGGCAAAGTTCGATTGGACTGCGTCAAAGATCTCGAGCAGTTGCCACCAGTGCTTGAGCTTGCTTTGGCCGTGCATTATCAGCGAGACGAGCTGAACCAGATTCCGGCTGCGCTCATTGATGCACTCCAAATAGCTAAGCGGCGGCACCTCCTGTCTGTCCAATAGAACATGCTCCAGCTGCACATACACACTGGGTGCTGGCATTCGGAGCAGCTCCTGGTAGAGCATCAAAGCTCCATGGTCGCTGTTCATCATGGTTAGCTTGGTTGTCTTATGCGTCAGCTCTGGAAAGTCCAGATGATAGTGCATTATGTAACTATCGAGTTGCATGTCAATTGCCAGTTGATGCAGAAACTGTAAAAATCCAAATCCTTTTATATATAATCCTGCAGTCGCATAATGTACTCACCGATGCCAGATAGATGAGCGCACTCTGAAAGACCGAATCAAGTTTGAGGTCCTCGTAGAGCATATGCATCCCATAGAATATGGCTGGCAGCATACGAAACAATGGAGCTGTCACATCCACGCTGTAGGCGTGCGCCGGATCGGAGGGACAGGCGGATAATGCAGTCTGCAGCAACATAAACTCCCAATCATCATCAGTGTAGGACTCGCAATCGTTGTACTTGCGTCGCTTCTTCGGCTCATCCTGTGCGGCGCCCGCAAACGTATGCAATGGCGGTGTGGCACAGCGTGCATAGGACTCGTCCACATCGACTGTCTCATCACCTGACATCGCTGTTGTTGTCGTCGTCGTCGCCGTGCCCATGCAGCCCATCAGGCCCAGCAGGGTGCTGCGAAATAGCTGCCACTCCTGCTCGATGCTGTAGTCCTGCGAACCAGGCGGATTGCGTGCACTATACCAACGTATGATAAAGTGCAAGAACTGTGTGGAATTAAGGACTTGGCGCAACGCAGCTATGCAGCGCGTGATAAGGCGTGTATCGTTGAGCAGCGGCAAAGCAATGCGCAGCATCCGCCCAGTGGCATAAACCAATGTCAATCGATTGCCAGCGGGATCACGCAACGCTTTGCATATGTTGTGAGCCTGTCGTTGGGTATAGGACATGGGCTGCGGATGTATGGGCGAGAGCATGTGCAGCTCCAGCTCCTCATCGAAGGCATTCAGATCGGATGCCGCCTTCGTGGGCAACAGGCTGCTGCGACGCACCTCGACAAAGGAACTGTTGGCTATTTTAAGCTGTGCCGTTGCCGTCGTTGCTTGCAGCGGCGTATGCGGAGTGGGGGTTGTTGTCGGCGTGGGCGTGGCAATGTGAATAGTCTGTGGCGCAGTAGTTAACTGTGGTGTTATGTGCACTTTGGAGATGAGCACAGTGCCCGTATAGAGTATAAGATTGCCACCAGGATCCAGTACAGCTATCATATGCATGCGCTGCAAGCCGACTGCATCCTTGGCGGGCAGTGTAGACGCCAATGTGGACAATTGCATTTCGCTGGTGTCGTAGCCATTGATCAGCACCATTTGCAAGCGGCAGCTGCGTGCGAGCAAATAGCACAAATACGTCTGACCCACCAGATCCGTGTGGATAAAGGCACGCGTCGCCATCTCGCAGAACTCACGTTGCCTGCAAATGGAATGGAATGAATGTGGGCAGCTGAGCTGGTTGAAGAGTTATGTATTGACTTACGTGCCGTATGTATTCTCTGTCCAGATGTGTTCCAAGCACATCTCCGGCTCAATGGGCTTGGCCGGTTTAACGTGCGTTATCTTGCGCATATCCTTAACGGACACCGAATGCTGGCTAATGCTGTTCTGTAGCTGGCTGAGGGGTGCACCCAGCGAGGCACGACTGCAAGTCAGACTGGTTGGGTAATGCGTCATATTAAGCAGAATGAGCTACTCACTTGGATTGACCCAGCACACCGCTAAACGATTGCGACTGACTGAGGCCATATTTCGAGAAATTAAGCGGGGGCGTTGCTGGATTGTTGCGTCCCAGAAACGAGGTGGTGCTCAGCTTTGAAGTGGCTGCAAACCAAACCAAACCAACAAGAAAATAAGTTTATACCTTCAGATGGAAATTAATCTAATCTAGAGAGGATCGCCTACCACCCGTCAGTTTGGTGGAGCTGAAGCTGTGCAAGGTGCTTGAGCCCGGTGTAGTGCGATTTCCCTGCAGCGTTTGGCTGAGCAGCTCCTGCTGCTGCTGGCTCACATAATTCACCTCCTCGGACGTCACTTTACGCAGCCGGGCAACAAAATGCTTGCAGAACTTTGCATCGTAGATCAGCACCAGATCCGACTCTTCGGCTGTGAAGACAATACTGTATTCGGGTTCGGTCATGTAGCCCTTTGAGTTCGTGGCTGTCTTATGCACAACCGGGCAAGCTTCGTGCAGGGGATGCGACATGGAGAATAGGCGTGGCATTGGTATGGACAAATGGGAGACGAGCGCATTGCTAGATTCCTTTTCCAGCAGTAGGCCATGTGTTGTTTGCCACAGATGCGAAACGGGAAAATCGAGATTAGCCAGAAAGTCGTCGCCATCATCGCAGTAGACGCGCAACGCATCCTGATCCACCACACAAATGGCTGTTAGCTTGTCCTCCGGTTGGACAGCGGCGCGCAGCTGAGCCAAGCGGCCACGTACAAAGTTACGATTTAGGAAACAGGCAAACTTCACTGGTGTATCACAGGTGAAGCACATGCGCCGTTGCACGCCATCGTCATCATCATTCAGTCCCTGCGTCCATATAACCGTATGCTTGTTCACATACAACTCCTCCTCGTTGTTCACAATGTAATCGCACATGGGATCCTCGCGACGGTGCTTAATGGGCTCCAGCAACTCCTGCGGCAGCGATGTTAATTGCGTGGCAGCCGCGGCATTGGGTCCACACTTCTTAGTCTGCTCGATTAATTGCTGACGGCGCTGTCCGCGCTCATAGCTGGCGTCGTAGTCATCGTAGATTTCGCGTATGCACCAGAATTCTTGCGGTTCTTCGGTAGCGGCAGAGATGTTAACATTTTGCAATCGCTGCAATAGCAAATGCTCGGCAGGCAAATATTTGGGTAATGGCGGTTCTGTGGGGCCTGGATGATCCTCTGCCGCCTGACGACCGCGAGGAATGAACTCCTGTGGCGGCTCTGCGACGGCAATCATCTCATTGCATGCATCCAGATTTGCGGGTTTCTTTCTTGGACAGACAGTCGCACACTTCACACAGAATTAGATACAATCGAAAATGTTTGATATATAATTAGGAACTATAACTAAAATGCCGGCTCAGTTGTCGTCGCGCCGGCAAATTTGTATTACCAATATTATCGCTATCGAAATTGCATGTGACATCAATATTGATATCGATGAACAAAAGCAGTTTATTAATTCGTTAAATATTTTAGCTGCCAGAGGTAAAGAACATTGAAGTGAAAAGGAGATACAACTCTACTTTTCATTTAGTTTTTTTTTTTTTGCAAGTATTCCGAATAAAATTACATCACATCAAAATATTGCAAATAATACAATTTATTACTTAAATAAAAAAACAAAAATAAAAATTAACCGCCAAAATAAAAAATACTAAAATCGAAACACTTCATCGATTGTGCACAGCTGTTCTGTGCTCATATCGAAGAGCTTGCGACATTGAATCGTGAGTAATATAGGCGTTACGCGATTAATTGTAATCGTGGCGCGACTGAGTTATCGCCATCTATAAATTGCTTATATTTAACAGAAATACAGTTTCAAGTTAAGTTCCACCACTGGAAATGAAACCTTTCTAAAACAAATCAATCTATTAAAATTCTACCAAGACCCGGTGTTTTATACCTTTGACAGTTAAAACAAAGGTACGCAATATTTGACACGACCACGATATCGACAATGAAAGATGTCATTGGCGATATATCGATATAAAAACAACAATTTATATTATATAGCTGTTGTTTGTGGGTGGCGCTGGTTGTGTCCTACAGAAATATGGCGGATAAACGAAAATACAAGCGATCGGTAAGTAAATAATAACGAAATCATCAATCGTACGTTAACATGCATAACTTAACATATGCTCGTATCCGCAATTAGAAAGAGGAAATTGCCCGTGAATTTGATCTGCCCGAGCGCAAATCCAAAATAGCAACAATACTTAAACAAGATGACCAGGCCTACTGCATATGCCGCACATCGGATTGCTCGAGATTCATGATGTAAGTTGAATAATATTAATTAGACAATTCTTGGCAATCAATTTCGACTGATTGTAATCTGTTTGCAGCGGCTGCGATGGCTGCGAGGAATGGTATCATGGCGACTGCATTGGAATCACCGAAAAGGAGGCTAAGCACATTAAGCAATATTACTGTCGTCGATGCAAGAAAGAGAACCCCGATCTGCAGACCATATTCCGTTTGGTTGCCACCGAACGTGCGGCGGCAACTGCTGCTGCATCAACATCTAACGTCAGTTATGGCGCCACAAATATATCTGGACAATCTGCTGGTGGATCTGCGGCAAGCACCAGCGGCACTGCAGGTGCAGCTTCTGGTCGCAAAAACAATAGCGCTGCTAAGGAAACAAAGGCTGGTAGACGCTGTGGCACATGTGAAGGTTGCCGGCGACCCAATTGTAATCAGTGCGATGCCTGTCGCACACGCGTTGGCCATAAACCACGCTGTATTTACCGAAATTGTGTGATGCAGGCGGGGCATCAAGCTAATCCAGCACCAGCAACCACTGGACGCAAGCGTGAAAAGAGTAATGCCGTACAGCAACAGCAGCGCAAAAACAAAGTCGTCCGCTCCGACAGTCCGGAGATCTTTGTGCATCCAGAGCTTGAAGGCTTGCGACAATGTCATGGACCTGGCTGTCGTTGTCAGGCCCGACCACAAAGTAAATACTGCAGTGACAAGTGCGGCTTCAATCTCGCAACGAATCGTATATTCCAGGTGTTGCCACAACGTTTGCAGGAATGGAATTTAACGCCATGTCATGCGGCAGAAGAGAATCGCGAGCAGCTCGAGGTGATACGACAGAAACAATCAATGGTGCGTTTCGCGCTAGCCGAGCTGGAGAAGCGAGCAGAAGAGCTAAACATGGTTGTGGATCGGGCCAAGCGGAGCTCCATAGACACACAGCGGCCGCAGGACAATGGCGACGTCGAGGATGAACAGAGCATGTACTGCATCACATGTGGCCATGAGATACATTCCCGCACCGCCATCAAGCACATGGAGAAGTGCTTTAACAAATACGAATCGCAGGCCAGTTTCGGAAGTATCTTTCAGACCCGCATGGAGGGCAACAATATGTTCTGTGACTTTTATAATCCGGCCAGCAAAACGTATTGCAAACGCTTGCGCGTTCTTTGCCCGGAGCACAGCAAGGATCCCAAAGTCAACGATACGGATGTGTGCGGTGCGCCGCTCGTTAACAATGTTTTCAATCCCACCGGTGAATTCTGTCGTGCGCCCAAAAAGAATTGCTTTAAGCACTATGCCTGGGAGAAGATACGAAGGGCCGAAATCGATTTGGAGCGCGTGCGTCAATGGTTGAAAATGGATGACCTAATGGAGCAGGAGCGCCTATTGCGACAGCAGCTCAGCTCGAGAGCCAATTTGCTGGGCCTCATGTTGCATTCCACCTACAACCACGAGGTCATGGACGAGCTGGTGCGGAAGCAGCAGGAGCATTTTGCCGAACTCGAGAAGCAGAAGCGACGACAGGTTCATTATCAGCAGGTGCAGCAGCAGCAACAGCATTACCAGCAGTTGCATCAGCAGAAGCAGCAACAGCAGCAGCAACAACAGCAACCACTTCAGCAGCAAAAGATGCAGCAGCAGTGACAAAAAAAACATAAAAAACAAAAAAAAAAGCCAAAACAAAAGCAAAAAATAAAAAATAGGAAAACATCAACTAATTAATATATAATATAAAATAATATAATTTACACATATAGTGCAAGCTAAGATAACCCTGTCTATGTACGTCTCGTTACCCCCCTCCTCTAAGCTGGCCCCATATGCCATTAAGCAGACACTAATAAAATTTGACATGCACAATATGTAAAATACACTCGATCACCATGGATATTGAATATAGATATATATATGTATATATAAGTATGTATTTGGTATTAACAATAAGGCTTGAAACGTTACCAGCAGCAACCCGATCAAAAGAATTTCAACGCCGGCTGTTCTCTCTGTATCTCTCTCTCTCTCTCTATCACAAAGGCTTACGCTCTAGAAGGTTGCCTAGTGCCTCCCTCTACTGTTTGTTATTGAAAACTAAGCATAAAAAGTATTTATTGATAGCAACATGTCTGCAAGTATCAATGAGCCAGCTCAAACAGTTCGTATCATTCACATTTCTTTCAATTGTACGGATGGCATTTGCTCATTCTAATCGGTGTGCTATGATAGTAAATAAATAAAAATTAAAAGTAAAATAAAAGTTTAAACATACTCTAAAAAAGCTTTACATACAACTATTGTTTTGTTTAAAATTTGAATTTGTATGCCAAGTATGCCAAGTGTGAATATGCATGCTCATGTGTGTGTGTGAATGATAGGCGCTGTGCGGAAAGAACGGTACTTGGCCATAACCATAACCACCAAACGGATAACAGTAACAAGTGCAGAAAAGGACGATGTATGTGTGCATGTGTGTGTGTATGAATGAGTGCATGTAATTTTGGCTCGCATATCGAAGTAGACGTTGACAGAATCGAACCGGAGACAGTGTAAAAACCTAGTAGTCAAGGCGTTAGTCGTGTTGACCTTTAGAAATGTCGTAGACATTTGGCATCCATATTTTGTATACCTTCTACACAACTCGACAATAAAAAACACACAATTTTGTATTCAACTTTTGATCTTATTTTTCAAAAATCACAACGCGAGTTATCCGAGACGGTATCATCCCCTATATATATATATATGTATGCACAATTAATGCATGTATGTATATATGTATATATATGTATTTGTATATATATATGTGTATGTGTATATATATATGCTCAAGTGCAATACTCAAATTGAACAGCGTGATTCCGATCAGTTTTGCGGATCCGCAAGTGGAAAACGTTCAAATTATAAAGTCGCAGCAGCAGTTAAAACATATTAACTTTGATTCGGTTAAAGAAGCGCAGCATCAACTATTTGAACTGATGGCGGTCACCGAATAACGGAATACCAGGAACTGATCAATTCAACCAAATAATCAATCAATCAATCAATCAACCAACCGATCGATCGATCAATCTCAATCGATTAATCACTGCAATCTTCGTGCCAACGCTTGTCTTACGTTTCCTTTGCAGTGTTACGTTGTTCAAAATCGTGGACTTTAATAGAGGTGGGTGCGTGAGTTGCTCCTTGATCTTGATCATGTTCCTGATAATGACTTTAAATTTCCCATAATTTGCCCACAGTTCCTTTTGGATTCGTGTTTTATTTTATTACCAAACTTTAATTTTGTGTCGTTTCTTTTAAATTTTATTTTTTTTTTTTGTGTTTTAATGGTGCATCGTCGGCAAATAGTAAGTAGATGTTGCCAGCTCTGTAGCAGCTGTTCACAGTTCGATTTGCAGCGGGCTGCCACAGTTTGGCTTGTCCAAGTGGAACACCTCACTTCAGCTCCAGCTCCGATTTCAACTTAAACTTCAGCTGTCTCCCCACACATCCATCCATCTGTCAACTCATCCATTCATCAGTCGGCAGGTAAGTGACATGCATGGCGCCACCTCACCTCCATTGGTTGCGCTGTGCCAACAATAAATTCTATTTCTCAGCTTTACACTGCACTTCACGTTGTTCGAATCTGTTGTATTAGTATTCTATGGAGTATTTGATTGAGGGCAGATCCATTTATAAAGCATTCAGTCTAATAGATTTCATATATTTTGCGATAGTAATATTATGAGTCCAATTATCATTGTGTTGTCTTTGATTGACGGATTGATTGAATATATACTAGTGCAGCTTGATAAATGATTGATCATTGAATATAATACATTATGATACGTTAGTTGAGAATTCTATATATGGCTTTAGGATTGATTGATTGATTGATTGAATATATTTAAGTGTGATTGATTGATTGGGTATGATATGAGAAATGATTGATCACTTAACGTAATGTATTGTTGGCAAGTATATATATTGCTTTGATTGATTGAATGTATCTCAGCGCGATTGATTGATCAGATATCATATGATAAATGATTGATCATGGAATATACGATATATATTACGATATGTTAGTTGAGGATTCTTTGTATTGCTTTATAAATGATTGAATAGATTCCAGTTGATTGATTGAATGTATTTTGCTATGATAGACGATTGAATATATTACATTATAATGATCTAATTGAAGAACGAAAATAGTTATTTATGGTTGAATATGTAAATTATGATTGATTGATGTTTGAATGATGATGATTGAATGTATTATCGTATGATTGATATATTAGACTGTGTTAGATTTAAAGAAAGTAGTGGATTGATGATGGAATATATGCAATTATGATTGATGGAAGATTACAGATACATATATTTAAATTATATATACTGAATACTACATTGATTGATGGGAGCTTTAATGTTAATGTTAGATTCCATTTCAAGTCAAAGTGATATTCAATTTGGATCAGTGTAAGCTTGAAGTACCCATATTTAATAGTTGGAGGAGGGGAGTGGGGGCAGGTCTTTGCATATATTTATTGTTAAACAAATTCATTTTGCTCTATATTCGATTGCATGCACGAGTCGATGGCATTTGAGGCGTTGTTTGATTGTTTTTGCGGGGCTGCCATTTGCTGGCAATTGCAGCAGCAACAGCAGCAGCAACAGCACTGACAACGACAACAACAACAATGACACATGACGTTGCCCTGGGCACTTGAGGGTCCTGGTTCCATTTGTCCATTTGTTGGCATTGCTAGGCCAAGTTGTTTGCCCTGGTGTTGTTGTTGTTGTTGTCGCCCACTTTCGCTTTTCGATCGATCTAACAATAATTTAGTTTCAATCGAATTGCCTTATGATTATTCGTTGTTGTTGTTGTTGTTGTTGCATTTTTAACATACATACTTGAGCCGCGTTTTGCATATGAAGGAGACGAGAGACTCTTAAAATGCGAACACAAAGCCATCGGCAGCAACATTCACACGCGACAACAGCAACAACAGCTTCAACAACTTAACGCGATGCACTCAAGCCAGCCAACACCCACTTGCACCCGCAGCCGCCATAGAAAGTGTTGAAGTGCTTGCCACAAACTGGCGCCCGCCCAGGACGAAGCCAACCGACGTCACGTCGTTAGAAAAGTTGGCGGATTTGCTGATAATATCATTGCAATTCCAGAGCTGGAGGTGGAAAAGCGGAAATTCCGCCGTCGGCATCGAAAGCTACAACAGCAGCAGCCGCAATTGCAATCCCAGCAGCAGCTACAGCAGCAACAGCTACCTCCACTGCAGCAGCAGCAGCATCAACAGCAACAGCAACAGCAACAGCAACAGGAGCAGCAGCAGCAACAGCATCAATTGCGAGGACAACCGCAGTTAACGGATAGGCAGCGTGAGGCGCAGCAAAATCACCCTCATCACATGCGAATACGGAAGAGCGAGACACTTCAGAGGCCGTTGATCAAGGAGAAGCATAAGGAAAAGAACAAGGAGAAGGAGAAGGAGAAGGACAAGGAGAAGGACAAGGAGAAGGAGAAGGAGAAGGAGAAGCTAATGGCCGAACGGCAATCGAACGCTCAGGAGCGACGCATACACGAGCTCGATCAGAATGTGGAGCGTTACTTTGAAGTGCGCAAGGTAGGCAAAAATTGTTATCGTTAATCGTCTATCACACACACTGATCGATATCCATTGTGCGATCGCAGCGCCTGGGCAAGGGCGCCTACGGCATCGTATGGAAAGCCACAGACAAGCGGCAAAAGGATACCGTGGCGCTCAAAAAGATCTACGACGCCTTCCGAGATGAAACCGATGCACAGCGCACCTATCGCGAGGTCGTCTTTTTGCGCGCCTTTCGCCACCATCCCAACATCATTCGCATGTTGGACATATTCAAGTAGGCGCCACTGCGTTCTTATCATTTGAGCTGACGTTCCTAAAGTTTCTTCCATGCAGAGCGGCAAACAATTTGGACTTCTATTTGGTTTTTGAGTTCATGGACAGTGATCTGCACAATGTTATCAAAAAGGGGGACGTCCTTAAGGACATACACAAGCGCTTTGTCATGTATCAGCTAATAAATGCGATCAAGTATATGCACTCCGGCAATGTCATCCACAGGGATCTCAAGCCTAGCAACATTCTGATCGATAGCAAATGCAGGTGAGTCAATCGATTGTCATTGTCATTGTCATTGTCATTGTCATTGTCATTGTCATTGTCATTGTCATTGTCATTGTCATTGTCATTGTCATTGTCATTGTCATTGTCATTGTCATTGTCATTGTCATTGTCATTGTCATTGTCATTGTCATTGTCATTGTCATTGTCATTGTCATTGTCATTGTCATTGTCATTGTCATTGTCATTGTCATTGTCATTGTCATTGTCATTGTCATTGTCATTGTCATTGTCATTGTCATTGTCATTGTCATTGTCATTGTCATTGTCATTGTCATTGTCATTGTCATTGTCATTGTCATTGTCATTGTCATTGTCATTGTCATTATCATTATCTCATATATCTTTTTTCTTAGGCTTAAAGTAGCTGACTTTGGTCTTGCGCGCACTTTGTGTTCGAAGCGCCGCAGCAACGTGGACTTCGAATGTAAAGAAGAGCTGGATAACGAGGCGATGCTGACGGATTATGTGGCAACCCGCTGGTATCGGGCACCCGAAATACTGGTGGCCAGTCGCAAGTAAGCGCCAAGTAGTGTGATCTATCTGTTTGAGTCTTATTTGGATTATAAATGTGTGCATTAGGTATACGAAGGGCATTGACATGTGGAGTCTGGGCTGCATACTGGGCGAGATGATACGCCAGAAGCCGCTCTTCCAGGGCACCAGTACCATCAATCAGATTGAGAAGATAGTGAACGCGCTGCCGGATGTGACGGATCGCGATATCGAGTCGATTGGTGCCAGCTTTGGCTCGGTGCTGCTCAGCAAGAAGATAGTGCGGGATCGCCGGCACTCACTGGACGAGATGCTGCGCAATTGCTGTGACGATGCCATGTCGTTGGTGAAGTCGCTGCTGGTGCTCGATCCGGATGGCCGGCTGACTGCCAAGGAGGCAATCGCGCACTCCTATGTGCATCGCTTTCGCACCTCCTCGGCGAACATGGAGCTGCGCACGGACATCAAGCCGCCGCTCGACGACGATGTGCGCTACGGCGTCGATGAATACCGCTCCACGCTCTACGAGATGATTGCGCCCGACATGCGCTCCAGCGCACGGCACTCGAGCAACATACAAACGACTCCCACTAGCTCCGACATGCAGTCGAGCATGACCACACGCGTCACCCGGTCTGTCTCCAAAACCAGGTGAGTTCCTCCCCATCCCGTTAACTTTGGTGTGGCTTGCCGGTGCGAAGCGTGGGCGGGGAGTGTATCGAGTCTGCTTAACCAGCTGCTCGCTCGCTTGCTTGCTTTTGCAGGTATCGTCGCTCATAGCATAGACGTTCGTCGTCAACCACAGCGACGACGGCAGCAGCAACCAAGACAAAGCCAACAGCAGCAACAACAGCTACGAAGTGTAAGCAACAGCGCGTGGCGCTTGCAAAAAGTGGACTAGCAACATCTGCATCCACATCCACATCCATATCCACATCTTCCTCGACTTCCATTTCAACTTCAGCCGCGCAACAACAACAGCAGCAACAGCAACAGCAACAGCAACATTATTCGCGTTCAGCTCAGCGTCAAGCAACATATCCATAAATCCATTCCTGTGCCATTTCCTTGCTTAGACTATGCACTCAAGACTGCTGCTTAACTACTCGCCTACGCAGTGTTAAGGGGTATATTAGTTTTATGCACTATGTTGTCTGTTTGTCTGAAACCTAAAATTTGGAATATATATTTTTTTTGCTGCCTCACGAAGTGCCTCCGTCTAGCCTAGAGCCTAGAGCCTAGAGACTCGTGTGCCGCTACTTTGATAGCGTTTTGAGGTAGGCTAGTGTCCACTGTAGTTGGATCTATTGCGGAAAATGTTTATATATTTTATATTTGATATTTTATATTGCTGCTAAATTTATATAAACGCCTCTTTGGGGGCGTGAACACAAGCTAAAGAGAAGCAGAAAAAGCGCAGTAATTTTTAAGTATTTTTTGCTATTATGAAACCCGAACGAGCATTGCCTAGTCGGGCTTGTATATATATATTATATATATATATATATATATATATATATATATATATATATATACATGTATATATAAATATATATATTATATATTTATTATATATATATAGTACATAAAAAATTGTGTTCAATGTAAGCTCATCCTTGAGACAGTCGAAAAGTGAATGCATTAGACAAAGATTGAGATCAGTAGATATATGTATATATAGAGGCTTAGACCTGTATATGAATAGTCTGTAAATATCATAGCTGTATATATGATATATATATATTAGATATTTTCTAGTACAGCTCGAGCTCCAGCACATCTACGCTCTGCGCCTGCGCTGCCATTTGCAATGTTTTTTTTCCACTGCCCGATGCCACTTCACTTGCTCACCTTTCCCTCACTCGATTTAGGCCATCCGCAAACAATTTCCATGCCGCTGGGCACTTGGAGATGCCCGCACAGCCGATCTCCGCGCTGACCAAGGCCTGGGTGGAGGAGCAGCGGAAGCAGCGCCAGTTGCAGAACCAACAGCACTATCAGCAGAGGCACCAGCATCAGCACCAGCACCAACATCAAAACCAGCACCCGCACCCGCATCCGCATGCGCATGCGCATCTGCATCTGCATCACCATCCTCCGCAGCAGCAGCAGCAGCAGCAGCAGCACCATCACCACCATCATCCACAGCCCCAACAGCAGCAGCAACAGCAGCAGCAACAGCATCAGCAGCAGCAGCAGCAGCAGCAAATGCATCGTGGCAAGCGCTTTCTCAATGACGCCACCCACATGCGTCGTCCAGGAGCGGAGCCAACACATGTGGCCTTGCGCAGGGAATTGGCAGCTGTGGCTGCAACAGCACCGCGCTGCATCGCTGGCGGCTTGTGGCAGGCGCCAGTCGCAGCTCAATCAGCGGCGCCGATGGCTGCTGCGCCACCGCTGCGCCATTGGACGGAGCCGGTGGCAGTGCCCTTGCCTATGCCCCCAGCATCTGCGACGCAAATGGGCATAGGCCAGCCCCAAGCGCAATCGCAATCGCAATCGCAATCTGTAAACGGGACCACCTCATCCAACGAGACGGAGGGCCTGTGTACAACGGCTCAGCTGAGGGCGCGGGTGCGGAAATTGCGGCGCGAGTGCAAAGATAGGCGAATGTCCAAGGCCAAGGATACGGAGCTGGTCAGGCGAGATGCCAAAATCGATATGGAGTCATCAACTGCGGATGAGCTGGGCGATAGCTGTAAAGAGCAGTCCCTCATCTCTGTGGCAGACGCGGCCAACTCACGGACGGAGCAGCCGCTCGAGATGGCCGAGCAGCAGTTGAAAAAGTTCGCGCACATCAAATCGACGGAGCAGGTGCAGTCGAAGACTTTGCATTTCGTGCCGGCTCACGCTCATGCGCCGGCTCCGACTCCGCAGCCACAGGTGCAAGCACAGCCATCGGCCATGGGGCATGTCCACGTTCAGATTCAGTCGCAAGCCGTGCTCCATGCCCTGACGGAGGAGCAGCAACAGCGCAAGGAACAGAAGTCCATAGATCTGACCACAGCATTGGAGCGACTGCAGCTGGAGCATCACGAGCTGCAGCAAAAGAAGTTGCACATCAACGATGCCAGCGATGGGATGAATCATCGCAACCAGCTGCACCTCCTGCAAAGGCATCAGATGCGCAAAATGGCCCAGGACTCGTCGGACAATGCATTTCGCGCGTTCCGGCAGCAGCGTCAGATGCAGCACTTGAGTCCCGGGGATGAGGGCGATCGCTTCTATACGCCGGAAGGCACCGTCCGCCAGGCGGAACCAATGGGACAGGAGATGTCGTCGGGCGAGAAGGCGGACGATAGCGCCAAGGCGTCGAGCGCTTCGGCGGCGTTCGTCTGCTATAAGACGCGACTCTCTCGGCTGGAGGAGGAGATGGCCAAGTGCAAGCGCCAGCTGTTCCACTACGTCCAGGACAATCAGCAGCTGCTGGCCAAGCAAAGTCTGCGCCAGCACATCGAGCGCTTGCTGCACTCCTCGCCGCTGCTGAAGACCAGCAAGTCAGAGCCGGCGGCGCCAATTGCCAGCGCGAAATCGCCGCAAAGCGATTCGGGCATCGATTTGGATCAGCCCAAGCTCGATCGGGACAAGCAGAAGCAGTTGCAGCTGCGCGAGTTTCTCGCCCGCGACGAGAGCAACGCCAATGCCTATGAGCTGCCCGATCTGTGCAACGTCTACAAGACGAGCAGCTGCCACGCCCAGCCGCTGAGCAGCTGCCTCGAAACGCCCAGCTCCTGTCGCCCGCTTTCATCGACGTCAACGAACACCAACGACAACTCCATTGGCCAAGAGCTAATCCAGCAGTCTCACAATTTGGCGCACGTCTATTCCAATTACTTTCCGGTTGCCGCTGTCAAGACCAACAGCTACGAAAACGCCTGGAACAAGCGGGAGCATGCACACGGACACAATGCCAAGCGGCATCAGCCGCTCGCCCCCAACTGCGATCGCCTGCGCATCCAGGAGGCCAATTTCTACGACAGCTTCAACGATTCGCATGCTACTCGCAAATAAGCGTCTGATATCAAAACATAATTGCAATCAATTACAAAACCAAAAAGAAACAATCAAACGAACTAACGATAACCAAATATTAAAAGATCTTGAGGGAGAGAGAACTGTAGAAAGAACGAAACAGCGTTGTAAAGAGAAATAAAATTAGGAATAGAGGCATAGCATAGAGCTAGAGAGAGAGAGAGAGAGAGTGGGAGAAATGTAGACAGATAACGAGCACGAGCACGAGCACGAGCTAGAGCGAGATAGCACGATGTACAGGGATCAGCCAAAGGCATAACAGAAATCTTAACATGCACGCTCACACACACATATGCAAACAGCATATATATACATACATATACATACATATATATACATATATATAAATATGTACATATAAACATATATATGTATACGTATATATATACATAAATAGATGGATGGCTTATATATATAGAGGCCAAGAGCAGGAGAGAGGTAGAGAGTCAGGAACAGAGAGCGCAAGAAAATTCTGCATGGTAATACATTATATATATGTAAATATATATATATCTATTTATTTGCATTGAAAACGTACGACTATATATACTTTTTGGGTATTCACGGGCGCTTTGTGGAGATGCGCAGCTCAACAACAGGCCGAAGTCTATGTAGGAGCATACATATTCCGAGTAGGTCAACTGTGCTATAAGTATCGATATATTGACTCAGTTTAATTTCTTTTTTTTGTTCTTTTATACGATAGAATCGATATTTTGACTCAGTTTTGTAAGCCGTAAAGCCTAGAGACTCGCAAATTACTATGCTGGCTTTTGCTTTTGTGAATATTCCAGACTTTGCGTGTCTCTCGTAAGCCCTCGAATTTGAATGGTAGATTGATAGCTCTAGCATCAAACTGTGTGTGCGTGCGTGTGTGGGTGAGAGAGAGAGAATGTGTGTGTGTGCTCATGTACTTCTCCCCAGGCTTCACAGTATCGAACACTCCCTCCTAGAACGGGGTAACTATTATTTTTATTGATGATTATTTATGGTTTTTGTGTTAATCTTTTTTTTTTTGCTCAACTATATGCTAGGTACAGTAAACACATAAGCAAAAATATTTTCAAAATCTTAGGTTTTAAAATTGCATATTTCATGCAAGGAAACTTTTCAGACCACCCTCGTATATATATATATATATATATATATATATGTGTGTGTATATACATATATATATATATATATATATATATATATATATATATATATATATATATATATATATATATATATATATATATATATATATATATATATATATATATATATATATAATATTGATATATATATATATATATATTTTTTTTTTATTATATAAAATTATTGTTTTAACAAGTGCAAATAGATATAGTTGACTGGAGTTGAAGACTGCAGCAGCTTTTTGGACCAAGCTCGTTTAAAACTATTTAGAAACAATAAAATAAATTGAAAAGATTTTTGATGCGGACTTGATATATATATATACAAATCGCTGATACTAAACGCTATGATCCACAGATAAAAACATAATATATGATTTATTTTGAAAAGCTTTGTTCACTGAGAGTTTGTTTTATTAAGCATACCTATATATATGTATATATATATAGTATATATAGTATATAGTATCAGCAAGTGGAGAAGTACATTTGAATGATTCTTGTATATAATATAATCGTTAATCTATATAGGCAACTAAGCCCAACTGTCTATCAAAGTTGAACACAATAAAGCTCTAAATAGATTTTTATCTAAGCATAAGGAATCGAAATATTAATGTTACTATTTTTGGTTTTTGCTATTAATTCTTAGGTCTGGTTTTCCATATACTTCCTTTTTGTTTTTATTTTGACATTGAGCTTAAGCGGTAATAAATACAGTTAGGTTAAATGACGAAATTTTCAGTTACAAAGTCGTTGCGGGTTCAGAATGTCTTCGTCTGAATCTAGCTCTGAATGTTGGCCCTATTAGTGTTAGCTTAGTAAATGTGTACTGGAATTAACGGCCATAGATTGTGTTCGTATAAAAGAGAATGGATTGGAGTTATCCATGCTGGTGCCACAAGTTGGAAGACCCCAAACGATTGTATTGCATGTTGAAGAAACGAAGGATCGGAATGTCGTCCAATGTTTAGGTTTTGCGCTTCTGTTCGAGCTGCTGCTGCGGCAGCTCCTCCTGCAGCTGCAGTATATGCTCCAGTGGCTGCGGCTTGCCATCCTTGTCAATTAGTGCTGGCTGCACGATGCCATCCCTGCGCAGCTGTTCGAGCAAGTTGACCAATTGCAGCGCCTCGTATTCCTTCTGCTCCTCGGACATGCCCTCGAGCGGATTGCGCTTGGGCTGCTCGACACAGCCCAGCACTGGATTGAAGGATTGCTGCTGCTGCTTATACTCCTCTGTGTCGCTGTCCTCACTGTCCGATGAGTAGTCGGCGCCGTCAATGCGCCGGCAGTCGAGCACGCCACGCTTAGCGAACAGCCCAGCCGCATTGCCATAACCCGTGTATTTGATCATGCGACCAACATCCTCCTTGCAGAGCACAAACAGCAGCTCAGCGGACAGGTCACGTAGGATCATTGCCGGCAGTGTGAGGAAGCGGCAGAGATGATTGCGCAGCTCATTGCCGATCTCTGGCCGTTTGCTGACATCCTTCAGCGGCGGCAATATCTCCTTTCGCAAATAGTGTCGCATGGTGCGATTGCTGCGCGCACACTTCACAAGCACCGTTAGCACTGGCGATAGCAGCTCATGGGAACTAGCCTCGGACTCCTGCTGGGCGAGTCCACTTCGCAGATAGTCCAATAGCACGGCCAGACCGCGCACGTTGCGCTTCTCAAAGCAGACAGCGCAACACTTCGCGTTGGCACTAACTGCTTCATTCTCTGTCCCCGTTTCGGCATTGCTGCATTTGACCATTAGCTCGGTTAGGCAGCTGCTAGAGATGTTGGTCAGCAAGTTGATGGCATGCGTGACAACAGCACGCTCCCGATCCGTGGAAAGATTGCCGAAGCGCAACAGCAGCTCGCGTAGCACGCCAGTCAAGTGAAGACTTTGAATTTCGTATTCGTTAGGACTCTTGTCCGGTGCACTGGTCACGGTAAACATAACCTTGAGCAGCTCGCAGATAATGTTCAGATGCTCCTCAGTGCCAGCTGTCGTAGCCGACTCGATCAACTTGTCGTCTAGCCAGTTGGTCATATAGGTCAGTCCATTGAGATCAATTTGTAGGCGTGTGCGCGCTGATGGCTCCAGTGCGGTGAGCAGAAACAATAGCTTCATATCATAGTATTCCAAGGTGCACGGATAGCGCGTCGCACACGATGTAGCGCTGCTCAAACGCTTCACAATCGCGTCGAGGCTGTGCTGACGCAGACACTGGCGACGACAGTCGGCGCTTTGATAAACCAAATTGCAGATACATTTCAAAGATTCGGCAATAACATCTGCCTCGGCATCGCTCAGAGTTAGTTGCGGCTGTGTTTCATCGTCGGTGCCGTTGCTGTTTTTGTTAGCATTGATTCGGGCCAGCGATAAAAGTGTGCCCAGCTCCTGTTCAATGTAGTGCGTCTGCAGGCTGAACTCGTCTCGGGTTAAAATGCGCACAGTGTTGAGGCATAGGGTGTGCATCGATGCTAAAGTCGCGTCATCGAGTATTCCAAATATGGCCAGCCACAGATCGTGCCACAGATTGTCGGTATGAAAGCTATCAAAGACCAGCAAATCCGCATTCTGCGGGCGGCAGCCACTCAACAATTATTAGTCACAGCTACAAAATTGTGGGTGGTGTTGGTGGTGTGTTGTCCTTACCTTTGTATTAAACTGGGTAAGTATGTCAGCGATGTTCACGGTTTCTTTACGCTCCAGTCGTTTCAGCTGCTCCGCATCCATGATGCTGACTTCAACAATTTCCCAGTGGTAATGTTTACTAATTGGATTTGAATATAACTCAATTGTGTTTGCATTCAATGTCAATAATGGACAAGTACTAAAATATACTTAAAAAAACTGCATAAAATACTAACAAAAAATTGCGATTTTATCAGTATGACCGTAAAGACCGAAAAAGAATACTGAAATAGTCAGCCGTGCCAGAAAAAATGCGGTTTATATTTAAATTCTCATTTTTTGAATTCCCATTTGGTTTTTTTTTTTTAATTATTGACAAATAAAAATGCATTAAAATTTAGATTTTGCTGTACATATAAATAAAGAATATATTTTATTACAAAAAATACATATTCAGTGTATACATTTATGCGTAGTGTATGTTTTCTTTTGATTGTGTAAAAATATAAATATATGTTTGTAGAAAATAATACGTAATATGTAAAAAGTTACCATTTGTGTTGGCTTACGTTTTTTTTTTTGTTTTGATTTAACTTATTTTTGTTAAATATTTTCTTCTTTTTTCTTAAATTTTTATAGTTTTCGTAGTTACATATTATAGTAGTCGAGAAATTCGACGGATCTACGACGACTATAGCAGATTGGATCCAATCTGACTGGCTTCCACTTCTTCTTTTTCTACAAAAATATGCACAAATGCAGAAAGAAAAAACGTTGAAAAGGGAAAAGAAAGAAAATAATAATAAACAATTAGAAATAAATGCTTTTAAATCATACACACATACACATATTAAAAAATATTCCAAAAAAAGAAGAGAATGAAAATAAATGTAAAGAAAATGAGAGTGCAAATAAAAATAAATTAACTCATCCATTCATCTTTGTAAATTTGCACTATTTTTAAAATAAAATTTTATAATTATGTATATGAATATGTAGAAACCAAATAATTTGTCGTATACTCCACATGCATGCATATATATATAAATATACGTATTTCTGTAGGTATATCAAATACGTTTAGGCCATTTGGCTGGCGCAGTCTTATATATGTATGTGTATGTATGTATGTTTGAATATATTAATATATATAAATATATATATGTGTGTATCTGATGGAACTGTCACCAGGTAAAACATGCATGTGCATGCATGCATGCATGCATATGAAGCTTACGACCGGATAGACAATGAAAGTTACATACATACATAACAGGAATATGTGTTGAGATTACATAAAGCAAAATAATATCAGAATACATTAATATAGATAAGTGTAAATAATATCTATATATACATGTAAATAGAAATCGATTTAGTTGGGAATGCGTTTTGAAAGCCTTGCAGCATGCATTTTTTTGTTTCTTTCCACTGGTTACTGGTCACTGGGCAGGCAGGCGCTTGAGCATTGTCTTTTTTTCTAATTCGTATCACTAGGAATGAGATTACGTTTGAGTAGAGCAACAGCGGTTTGAATGTCTGTATGTGTGAATATATGTGTATGTGTGAAGAGGCTTGTGTGTGTGTGTGTGCCAAGTACCAATAAATGTCAGACTGGATAAAGCTGGAGTCAGTCTATGATTAGACGAGCGGACCAAGCACAACACGAAGCTCGCATTGCCTATGATGAAAATTATATGCAGTTATAGTATAATGGGCAATAGAAATAGCGGTGTGATCAATAGCAGTACAGCTTACTCTCTCTCTCACACACACACACAAACCCACACACACATATGCATACATACACACACAACTACTACTACAACAACGGCAACAACAACAACATTAACAACAACAATTAATTGAAGCATAACTAAACTGGTGCACTGGCCGGCGGCTGTGGAACGGCTGCCGGTATAACATTCGGTATGGCAACAACACAAGCGCCAGCACGTGGAAACGACATGGGCGCCAGCTCATTCCAGCCATTGCGCACCGGATCGTATTCCTCGACGCTCTTCAATGCATGATTGCCATCGTAGCCGCCGACAACAATTAAACGATCGCCAAGCAAAGCACAGCCAATCGCATCGCGTCCCAGAGCCAGCGAACAAATCTGTTTACGATTGAAGGTAACAATAGACAATGTCAAAAGTCAATCAAATCAAAAAGAATTTACCAGAGTCCAAGTATCGTTAGCCGGATCGTAACGTTCAACGGTTTCGGTGCGACAGACCATGGGATTGCTAGCCGGGCAATCGTGACCTCCGAGAGCATAGAGAAAACCATTTGCGACAGTCACCTGTAGCAATCAATATAGTTAATGGAATTAATATAAGTGGTTACGAGATCCTCAATGGGCATGCTTACGCCAACGCCACCGCGTCGTCGATTCATTGGGGCGAGTAGGGTCCACTTGTTTGTGTGCGGATCATAGCATTCGATGGAGCGATGGCAAACGGATCCATCCCGCCCACCTACTGCATAGAGACGACCGCCTAGCACCGCAACACCGGCCGTTGAACGCATCGATGACATGGGCGCCACATAGCTCCAGGTGCGGGCGCTCGGATCCCAGCTGCGTATATATCGATTACATTATCTTGTTACAATTGGCAATGGGAAAAATATGATTTTACCGTTCAACCGTATTCAGATAGCTCCAGCCATCGTGACCTCCGACCGCATAGAGCGGACCCTCTAGCACAGCGACACCCAGCCCATGACGTGGCGTTGCCATTGGATTGAGTGGCACCCAGGCCATCGTATTCAAGTCGAGGCTCTCCACGGTATTCAAGGTCTTCAGACCATCGCGTCCGCCCACCAGAATTAGTTTGTCCTCCATGACAGCAGCGCCGAATTGCAAACGTCGACCGGTCATGTGCTTCCACGGCGTCCACTTGTCTAGACGCGGGCAGTAACTTTCAATTGTGATGGCGCCCTTGTGCGCATCCATGCCACCCACAGCCAGGAGTCGACCGACTGTCGATTTGCGGGGCGTTGTGCGTTCGGTGGCAATGCGTGAGCGACGCTCTGGCATTAGGTGCCATTTTAAGGCCTCCATCACAAGCTGTTGGCACTCATTGGTGGTACATACGTTCTCCACGTGATCCATTATGAAGACCGGCGTCAGCAATGGCAGCCGCACCAGAGCCAACAGCTCGCCAATGTGCTGCTCCCGATTGGGCGCATCGTGGCGCACCCACGACATCAGACTGTGGAAGACATCTTGCTCAGAGGGCACATTGAGATCATTGCTGCACAGCAGCTTGCCCAGTTGATCGGCGTTGAGCTGGAAGAACTCCTGATTTTGGCACACCTGCATAAAATACTGGCAGGTGTATGCCTGCGCCAGCCGTAACAGAGTCGTACAGCTTTGCTGTTCGGCAAAGAACGCAAAGCCCAGGCAGTTGGATGGATGCAGCTGGCGGGCCAAAAAATTGCAACAGGCTGTGACCACAGAGTTCAGCTGCAGCAGACAGGCCGTCGCCAGCAGCGTTTCCACCGTGTCCTCGCGCAGCTCAATATACCCCGTATAGCAATACTGTACAAGCAGCTGCAGTGCATCGCCATGCACCTCGCCTAGGGTAACGTCGTGCTCCGTGGTCTCGCGCAGCGATCCCGTAAACATTGCTGAAAAATATGAGCTCGAAGCAGATAGCACCAAGCGGTGAGCAGGCACTCTGAAAATATAAAATAAATTTCACTTTTTATTTGTTTTATTAAAACAAATTTATTTCGACTCCGTCGACTCAATAATCGTAAGATATGATAGTAAACGAAAATTAAAGCAATTTCAGATAGTAAACCTAGCAAACAGTGTAATCTTCAATTGAAAGACATGATAAAAATTTAATAATATGCAACAAATATGAATATTTAACTTTTTATCATTTAGTTGCAAATTGCATACGTTTTTACCACTGTACCGAGCACATCTCAATCACTCCGCCGCTCTCTTCAATATATATACCTCTCTCTTTCACACTGCCCTCAACAAGAGATCAATAGCTTGACTGAGAGGGAGAGAGCGAGTGCCTGGGTGAGCATGCAAGAGTGCAATTAGTGTCGTGTTTACTGTTGGAATTGCGTTGCTGCCTTGGGAAACGGGTGTGCGAACGGACACAAAGAACTAACTGGGCAGTATGAAAGAAGAAGGAAGAGTGCAGGGCATATTTATATGTACATATGCCGAATTGTGAATTGCTAATAAGTCAAATTGGTTGCTGGCGCTGCCTGGGAATGGACTGAGTGTGCAAAAATTGTCTTTATTTTGCGCATTACAACAACTTTCCATTCTTTGTATTTGGCTTGTCCGTCTGCTTGTTCACTTACCGTTTGCCATCGATGCCAGCGATGAGCACCACATCGCACAGCTGCTGGCTGTCTACATACAGCTGCATGCGCTTCAGTACGCTGTCCGCGTGATCGCGGCAGCGAAAGAACTCGTCCTGGCTGCCAGCTGAATTAAGGCTGACCAGGCTATAGTCTCTCGACAGTGATTCCAACGTATTTTCGGCTATCATCGATATGTGGCCCGATGTTGAGGCCGTCGAATCGCGACTGGGACTCTCCTTTTGGTTCACATTCACAGATGACATTTTTAGCTTATTTTTGTTTTTAAATTATATTTAAAATCCTTGTAACGGTTTCTTAGCTGCCCTCGTTGAGTTTGTCTTCCTTTTTAGTGCATGTCAATTCGTTGCGTGTTGCAATTGCAGCAGCAACAGCATCACCATCAGCAGCAGCAGCAGTAAATTTGCCAGCTTTCTTTTGTTTACGTTCGCGACTTAAGAAGCTCACGTCCGCGTTGCACTGCCTAGTTTGAATGACTGTGAGGCTCCTGATGTTGTTATGGCGCGTAGTAAGCTGTTGCTTTGTTTAGTTGCACTTGCATTTCTCGACTCGCACACACATATACAGGCACAGACGCAGACACACATGCAGACGCGTACACACATTCGCACACCAACTCCAACTATAACAGCGTTCAACCGTCGCGCCCGTTCGATGTCAACAAACAACTGCAAATTTAACAGCGACGCACGTACGAGCTGTCGCAGTCAGCGTCGCTGCTTCTGCCTCGTCGCGCAGACAAAGAACTTTTACTGCGTCCGGGAATTGAGCGCTGCTGCTGCTGTCGCCGCTGTCGCTGCTGCACTGCACTGCTTTGCTTTGCTTTGTTTTTATCCCTCGCACTGCTCTGACCAATGGACGATGGTTACTGCTGCTGCTGCTAGCTGCAAATGCAATTACACAGGAAACACATTTAAAATTAATGTCAATTGCGCACTGAAACTGAGTCCGTGACTAAGCATAATCCACACACTTACACTTATCAAAAAACTAACTACAGCTGTCTATTTATGTATTTCATTTGTCAAACGGCGGACCAACAATAACAAGAGCAGCAACAATAACAGCGTTTGATGTTTTCATTTTGCTTGCTATCGTCACTAGTTATGGCGTTGCCAACCAAAGCTCGACTGCTGGAGTTAACTGGACTTTGCATCGGCGTTACCACATCTATCGAAATTGATAGCATCGCAAACACATTTGAAATGAATGACAATTGTTAAACAAAACTGACGACGTGTCTAATCATAATCACACTATGGCAGACATGCATACTTATCAAATCTTTCTGCAGCTGCCTATGTATTTGATCAAACTAATAACAGCGTTTTATATTTTCATTTTGTTTGGTGTTGCCAGTCAAAGCTTGACTTTGCAGTCAACTCGAGGCTTTGTAACGGCGTTGCCATATTTATAAAACACTCGTCGTAAGTGCGCGATTTAATGGAGTCATTTGAAATTTGGTTGTCTGAGTATAATTTTCATTTATTGTTACTTCTTATAAATGTTTATATATACTCAGGGCTTATTTTATGGCTTGTGTAATTGGCTGAGGCAGACCAACTGTGAACTTGGATAGATTCTCTAAGAACTCAATATACAGGGCATGCTCGCGAGCAGTTGCCATGTCCGAAAGCTTTCTAGCAAATTCATGTGTAATACCCTTCTCTTCAAGCATTTCAAGAATCATGGTTTGTAAATTGTCATCAATAAGTGATGCATCAATGGTAAAACAGCTATCATTCCAACCGTGATTGTATAGCGATAGGTCCTGTATCTCAAATACTTCATTCTCCTGAGGCTGCTGATCTAACGACTCTGGTTCCACGTCTTCAAAGGCGCATGGCTTAAATACACAAAAAATGGAGAGCAGCAGATCATTTCTTCTGATTAGCACTTCAAATTTGGGCACACTACGCACTGGAGTCAGATCTCCAGTTTCATCATTGCGACGAGGTACACTTTTGCTAACATTAAAGAATATATTAATGCGTTCCTGGGGCGATTCTCTGATTAATTCCACTTTTGAGCCAGAAAAATGACCGGTGAAATTATCAATCATATATGGCGGCTCCAGTTGCAATTGGACACGGCGCTCCTCCAGTATTTCGCCTGTTACAAACTCAACCAAACTACGCTGCGTTGGGGTTAAACCGATTGGCGTCGCTTCTGCCTGCTTCTCCTCAACTGGTAATGGCTTCTTAAAGGCTTCACCTTTCAAATTTTGAAATTGATATGCGCTTATCGAAATGGGACGTTGGAATTTGGCGATGCGGCAATTGACAAATAAACTATGTCCCAAACGAAATACCTTAAGAGAGTTCGACATTTTTGAAAATAAAAACAAACGAAAAATTATATTTTCTTTATGTGTACGAAAAAGACTTTTTTCAGATAAGCCAGAAAATTTTGTAATGCTACAAGGCTAGCAAGTCAACGAATGATTTAGAGTTAGGCTTTACCCGTTGCTCGGATAAAACTCACTTAAAACTCCAGGCTTGCCCAGTAATTTGGTAAGGTGAGGTAAAAAATTGTTAATTTTGAGTACGATTATTTGAACTTTTTTAATTTCTATGTATCGATCATTATTCAGTTTTCAGTATTCCACTCTTCTTTCTTTCATTGTGTCTGCATGTGAGTGAGTGTTAAGGCCAGAATGTGAGTGTTAAGGCACGCACGCACCCACACATGGTGTAAGAAAGTTGTGGAGCGACAGAGTGGGAAGCAAGTTGATACAACAATTACATACATACATATATAACATACAAATAAATAACGTGTATGTATGCGATAAGTGCGTGTGTGTGCTCGTGAAATAAAGGAATGCTAATTAGTTGGGCGATGTATTGCGTTTCGGCGTCGATGGCGGCAAGTCCATTGTCTTGCACACCCAGCCCGATATATCAACATCCTCCACCTCCGCTTTACGTATCCATGGATGGCTCTAACAATGCCGATGTAAAAATAAATGTATATTAATAGTAACAACAACATGGGTGGAAATGAACTTTGTCTCACCAGCAACGTCTTGAGATCGGCCCGCTCATCCGGCTGCTTTTTGAGGCAAATGTCGACAAAGTCCTTGAACTCGCTGGAGAATATTTTGTGCTCCAGCTTAGGAGGCGGTTCGTTAACAATATAATCGAGAAGCTCAAATATTGCCATTACTTTTGGCTCCAGCACCGTTGGATTGCCATCGTCGGCATTATCTGCGAATATAGTCTCCAGCGTGGAGCTGTCCGGCGGTGGTATTGGATACATGCCGATTGCCATCTCAACCAGCGAAAGGCCAAGCGACCAAATGTCCGACTGAACCGAATAATGCGTGCCCTGAAGTCGTTCAGGCTGAAAAAACAAATTCAGCGTTCGATCTGTAAGAGTTTTATATATTTATAGTTTCAACTAACCGACATATAACTGCGCGTGCCGACGAATGAGTTGGCCATCGAATCGATTAGCTGACCCGAGACGCCGAAATCACAGATTTTGATCTCGCCGCTGCTGTTGACGAGTATGTTGCTTGGCTTAACATCCCGATGGATGATCGCATGCTTGTCCCGCAGATAGCTGAGTCCCTTCAGCACCGCCAACGTGATGCGCCCAAGTATTGATTCAGGTATGCGGCCGGCACGTTTCAATATGAGATCAAGAGAGCCGCCATCCATATATTCCATGCAAATGCTAATCTCGCCATCGCTGTAGAAGGCTCCATAGAAGCCAACAATGTGTGGAAAATTGCATTCGTGAAGGACTTTCAGTTCGCGCAGTATTTGTTTTTTAATCGCCGGTTTTACCTCCAGATGTATCAATTTCCTTGCCATTATCAAATGTGTGAGGGTGTGCCGCACTTTCATGACAACGCCGCCGTTGCCGGAGCCGAGTTCGCCCAACTTTTCCAGATCCTCCTCGGAGAGTTCGCCAATCTTTTCCTTTTGGCTGAGGAACACTTTGATTCGTTTTCGTTCCGTGTCGTCCATATCGAGGCCCTCCAATGTTTCCGTTAATGCATCGATGCTTGTTTTTGGTTTTCCCAGCAAACTATTTGTACTTTAATTTAACTTTTTAATGAATTTTTGCAGAACAAAACGAAAAGTTCTAACAGTTCGGATGGGGGTACTTTAAATGTATTAAGGACGCAGATGGATTTTACAAAATTTCTGCTCGCATTAGTACATACTCATATGTATATATCTATACATACACATACATGTACACATGCGTATATTTGCGAATGTAGGCGTTCTTTTGCGTGTTTATTCTTATGTGTTTGTAGTGTGTGCGTCACTTTGACAAGCAATAGCAATAACAATACGAACAACAACAAGAACAATAAACACAGATCTTTCTTTTTGCATTGTGGGCGGTTTGGAGGCATTAAAACAAAAAAACTTTCTGGGATTTCAAAATGTATATACAGAAATTAAAATCATATTTACTCTGTTCCCGATGCTGTTTTAAATGGTGGCGTTGGTGCCACCTGTGCGGCAGCAACAGTTGCATCCACGTTTACCGGTGGCAGCACTAAATTTAGTTTATTTTTCGACATCTTGGCACTGCTCCACAGCAAAAAAAAGTTGCTATCGGTCGTGGCTCACCGACGGTGCAAAGGGTGGGGAAGGTGGGAGGATTTCCGTTCAGCAGCAGTTACGGAGCGATTATGAAAATTGTGTAACTTGCTATATAAAGTGAATTAGTATTCGTTTTATTAGGATTTGATATTGCAGTTTTAGCCGGAAATTTCGCAAATGCTAATAATAGGGATGTAAGTACATAACATTTAACCGATTGTAGACTCAAATCGATTCATCGTAAATACCCATCGATTAAAAATTTAATTATCGATGTGAATGGCAAAAGCAAGCTGCAATTTATTGTTGTTTAAAACGGTAAACACAAAACGTGACCTTGCACTTTATTACGCAGTGCCCACGAATTGTGGCGTCCAGAAATGAAGGATTTGATGGTGCCGGCGAACGGCGCCAGTAACGAGTCAAGGATCATCAACACAGATTCTCACAAAGATGCGATGCTTGGTTTCGCACTCAACCTGCCGGATGAACAGCAGGACAGCGCTGTGATGCAGCTGCAGGCAGTAACTGAGGAACAGAAGCACAATAATAATAATAATAATAATAATAAGAATAATCAAAACAATAATAATAGTAACAAAAGCAATGGCGATATATTGCCAGCTGCGGTGGCGTCATCACAATTGCCTGAATGCTATCAATTTGACGCAGACGCCGCTGCTGCAGCCTCAGAGCTGGTTAACGTGGCTAACAAGGACTGTGACTCATTGGCTAAACTGGCCTACAATCTATATCGATTGGCCAAGGAGGATCACATCGTTATCGACCGGTAAATGCATTTTGTCTTATATTTATGCAAGACTAACATATTTTATGTAATCCACAGCAAGCGAAACGAGGTCGTGCGGACGGATGCAATGACTAACCAAAAGACCATCTATCGTTGCATGGATCCCGTAGGCATGGGCATGCAGCCGGCAGGTAACAGTCGCCCAACGGTGATGTCAACGTCAACTTCAACGTCTGCAAGAGTGAGCGGCTCACGAAAACGTACGGCTCCGAGTGTTGCAGCAACCTCGAAGAGAACGCCTGTGATCGCGGCGCCGAGCGGCACTACGAACAGTGCTATGAGTGAGCCAACTCCAGCAGCAGATGCAGATTCAATGCTGCGCACGCGATCTGGGCGCATAATTCGGGCCGCCTTGCCGCAGTCGGCAACATCAGCTGCACGGGAAACGTTGGGTTTACTTGTGGCCGATTTGCGTGACAAGGATTATCGTGCACCAGTAACAACTGCCGTTGCACCGTCCATTACCACAGTTGAGGAACCGGCGCCCAAGGAGCGTGCTGTGCCACAGAATGCAATTTGTCCGGGTTGCAATAAGATATTTCTGGGTCGTCGTTTGCAGCGCCATTACGTCAAGTACCCTGACCATATGCCCAGTGTGCTCGCCCATCGGCAGCAGCAGCAGCAGCAGCAGCAGCAATTACAACAGCAGCAGCAGCAGCAATTGGCCCAGAGTAATGGACCGACACTGTTTGGACTTTTGACCGGCCAACTGCAACGACACGGTCATCTGAGCGAGGAACAACGAGCCGATCTCTTTCTGCATGAGCTAAACGATTTTGTGGAGCAGCTGCAGTTGCGCAGCACACGGCTCATACGGAACACTTCGGGTTCGCATTTTGTGAATGCACGCATAGCACGTGTGCTGGGCATACCCGAGGGTCAGTACGCGCTGGATATGTCGGCAATGGAATCGGCGCAGGCGCCCACACCAGAGCCGGAGGTGCAGCAGCTGTTGCATGCGAGTGCTGTGGCAAGTGCACGCAATCTGGTCGATTATCCGGGGCTCAGCATGTCGCTAGATGATACGCTGACCGATGAAGCGGCTCAACGATTAAACTTGTCTGCTGGTGGCAAATTGTTGCCACCATCCGAAGAGAGTCTGTTGCGCAATGTTGGCGATGATCTGATGCCGCCCCCAGTGGCCGTGGCCCCACCCGCCGTTGGCCATGCGGCGGTTGCAATGCTGCCACACTACGATCACGCCAGCGACAATGCCGTCGAGGCGCTCAGCATGAAAGAGACGCCCAATGCGGCTATTTTAGATCTCAATGTTGATTTCTTCAAATTTAATAACAATTAGTCAAATGCAAATGAAAATGAAATTTACATATATCTGTTTGCAAATGCCTTTATTTAATATATTTTGTATTGTAATTAGAATGTGAATAGTATGAATAATTGATGGATAAGATATATAAAATGAATCTCAGCATGAAATGTACCTTAAATCTCTAAGCACTAGAGACAAAATATTAGACTTAAAGTAAAGTTTGTATTAGCCTTAAGCGAAAGGCTCAATTATGAGAGCATCTATGAAAATTGTATACATACACTGATGAATTGAAGACACTTCAGCTGAATCTTTATACACAGATCTTTCTGGTTAAAGCATTTCTTAGTGTGTTCCATGAAATCCTCACTAGATTTCGATTTTTCGTGTTAATAAACAATCAGTTACACGTTTCAGCTAAATATAGAATCCGATCAGAGCAGATTACAATTTATTTGATTTCTAGCAAGGTTTTCGCACTAAATTATTGCGCTGCCAATCCAAATCTGAATCCAAATCCAAATCCAATCTCGAGAGGCAGTAAATTATGTCGCGCAGTGCTTGCTGCGATTTGTTTTTGTTTTCGTTTGTTTTAAGACGTTTTTCGCTCTAGTTTTTAGTTTTCTGCTTTCATTTTTGTTATTGTTTGGATTATGTACTCGTATTTTATGCTCTCAGCTATTTTTGGAGCAACAGCATGTGAATGTGGTCGGCCATTGTTGACAGCTTGTGGCATGGAACTGGATGCGCTGCTATCTATGGGACATGGAGGAGTGACTGCATGCGTTGCAATACTTTTGTAACGTCTGTCGACTCCTTGGGCAAATATAGCCCCCTCGGTCACGCCCCGCGGTCGGCGATGTGCATTAAGCGGCATTTGCCGTGGCTGCAATTCAATTTGGCATATTTGCCAAGGGTCAATATGATTAGGGCTGATGAGCTGCGATTGGATCGAAGTGTTCGACCAACTAACTATAAATGGAGCTTGCGTGCCGAGCCGTGCAGTTAGTTGCAACATGAGATTCCACGCGGATAGAAAAGTGCAACGGCTCCATCTAGCGGCCAGTAGACAGCAACACAACCACAAGCAGAGTCACAGCCACAGTGATGACTCCATTGATGAGGAGCAAACCATGTGCAGCCGCGAAGCAGCCAAGAAGAGCATTAAGTATTATCTGCGGAACAGCTCGTTGCATGGCCTCAAGTATATAGCCGAAGAGAGCATCACCATACCAGAGCGGTAAGTCCGATTCGTATAATGCTTATATATCAGCATAGCTGGCGGGCGTAGTCAAACAAGTTGAGATCACCAATTAGAGTGAGAGAATGGGATAGTGGTTGGGAGAGAGAGAGAGTAAGAGAGGGAATGTGTGAGTAAGAGAGAGAGAAAGAGGGTGAGAGAGGTAGATAGATATGGAAAAGAAAGATGGAGAAGATATGTAGACAGATAATTAACGCGATAGAGCTAGAAAGAAAGAGAGAGAGAGAAAGAGAGAGACAGACGTAGGAAAAGAGGGAGTAAGACAGATAAAGAGAGAGTGAGAGGGATTGTGAGTAAGAAAAATAGAGAGAGTGATTGAGAGAGACAGAGACGAAAAGAGAGAGAGTGAGAGATAGATAGAAAAGAGGATAAGAGATAGGAGATTGAGATAAAGAGAGAGAGAGAGAGAGAGAGAGAGTTTATGAATGCGAATGATTAAAAAAAAAGGAGAATAAGTAACGAAGGGAGAGTGAGAGAGGAAGTATGAAGATAATTCAAAGAGAGAGACAGAGAGAGAGAGAGAGATACTTACAAAGAGTAAGGAAACATGAGTATATCATTAGAGCAAGATCGTGCGCAGATATCAATTTCATACATGCTTATATATAGTGTTCACATATAGAATAAGATCCTGAGCAATACAACTGTATTCAAAGATAACAATCCGTTGATTCTGTCAGTGTTTTCTTTGGCATATCCTTTGTGCTGGTCGTCATTCTGTCGGGCTTCTTCATATCGAACATTTACATCAAGTGGAGCGCCTCGCCCATCATCATCTCGACGAGCGCCAAGCAGCAGCTGACGAGCAACATTCCCTTTCCGGCTATAACCATATGCAATCTCAATCAGGCGCTGCGAAGTCGGGTTCAGCGCATTTCCAGGTAAGATATAAGCGGAAGGTAAGCAGAAGCTGTGCCACCTGGTGAATGACATCTTCAGTTCCCTTCCTTCCGTTCCTTTTTCCCTTTCGTTTTCGTTTAGCACCAGCAAAAACTATTCGTTGCTCATGAACCTGTGCAGCAGGGATTATGACCAGACCATCACGTACATTGGCACCTGGACCTACTTTAAGGCGCTGCTGGTGGAGGTGGCTCAGCCATGCGATCAGATGCTGCTCCACTGCAGTTTCGGCGCACGCAAGGAGATCTGCTCCACGATTTTCAATTCAATATTGACCGACGACGGGCTCTGCTGCACGTTCAATGCGCTGGATCCCATCTATTTGTTTCGCAACTATACGGACGACGTGCGCATCGAGCCGGCGACAGAGAATTCAATATTCAAGGCCATCAACTGGACTCCAGAGTCAGGCTATGCCAAGAACCTGCCAGAATTCTATTATCCCCGAACATCTGGCGGCACGGGCAGCCGCATGGGACTGACCGTCGTCTTGAATGCCTCGACCGAAGAATATTACTGCACCAAGTCCATGGGCAATGGGTTCAAGGTGTGTGATTCTCCATTAAGGATATCTCTCTCTCTCTCTCTTTCTCTAGCCATCTCTCTTGTTCTCTCTCTGTCCTCTTCTCTTTCCCAATCTTTCCTTGTCGCTTTCTCGACCTCTCTCTCTCTCTCTCTCTCTCTTTCTCTCTCTCAGGTTTGTCTCTTACTGCATGTAAATGTTGAAGAGTTATGACTAGCGGCTCTCTGTCTTTCTTTCTCTCATTCTCTCTTCTTTTCTCTATTCCCTTTCCCTCTGTTTGTCTCTTTCTATTTCTCTTTCTCCCTCTGCCTTTTCTTTTGCCTTTTTTACTCTCTTTTTTTCTTGCTCTTACTCATTCTCTCGCTCTCTTTTTACCTCTTCATATTTTTGTCTCTCTTTGCCTTTCGCTTTCTCCCTCTTTCTGTTTGCATCTCTCTCCCTCTCTCTATAATTCTGTCTAACTCTCTTCTGCGTTGCTCTTTCTCTCTCTATCAACTCCTCGCGCTCACTGCCTTTACCTCGCTCACACTCATTTCTCCTCTTCTCTATCACCCCCTCCCCTCCCTGCAGGTGCTAGTGCATAATCCCGCAGAGCTGCCCAAGGTGAGCAACTATGGGTTTGTGGTCAGTGCTGGGCGGGAGGCACGCATACCCATCGAGCCGGTCTACGAGGATGCCACGCCCAGCATACGGTCGATCAAGAAGGCGGTGCGGCGCTGCCTCTTCTCGGATGAGAACGATCTGTCCTACTATCGCACCTACTCGCGCAAGAACTGTGAGCTGGAGTGCGAGGCGAAGCTGCTGCTGCGCGAATGCAGCTGTGTGCTCTACTATTTGCCCAGGATTGATCCGGCCGCCCGTGTCTGTGGGCCCAATGACAACAATTGCACGAATCGGGTGCAGACGGAGATCGAGTCGTCGAAGACGAATCTGTCCTGTGAGAACTGTTGGCCGGGCTGCTTTGAGCTCACCTACAAGTCGGTAATGAGCAGCTCAACGATTGTCGCCGGTCCCAGCTATCAGAACGGGGAACAGCTGCCGGAGCATCTCTTCAACACCAGCCGCACCGGCGAGGTCAACGAGCTGGCCATACTCCACTTCTACTATCTGACCAATAACTTTCGCAGCACAACCAAATCTGAGATGTTTGGCTTCACCGAGTTTCTGTGTGAGTCCAGCTGATCTTTTCTCTGCTTCGCATGGCGCTCAGTCATGTGTTGTCTTGCAGCCAATACGGGTGGTCTGCTCGGCCTGTTCATGGGCTTCAGCATCTTCTCCGTGATCGAGATCGTCTACTATGTGACAATGCGTCCCTTCTGCGCCTCTCGGACGCTACACGAGCGACGGCGGCGCAGGCAGGCGGAGCTGCTGTGGCTGACGCCGGTGCATCAGAGGCGACGCATCAACGTGCAACGTCCGCCGCCGTACAGCCAGCTGGGCAAAGCGAAGGCTGTCGATGGCTCAAAGATGAAGCAAACTCTGTGGCAGACGCTGCGCGCTGGCCGCGATCCGATCGTCTATCCCTATTTGGATTAGGATGTTGTTTTCTGCACGCTTTATGGCCCTTCGAGTGCAGCGGACGTGGCCGCAAGCTGAATAAATAAACCAAGGCACACATTGGCTGTGGGGCCAATGAACGTGCCCGAGGGGCACTGGGCCATGGGGCGGGCCATGGGGCGAGCCATGGGGCGAGCCATGGGGCTTACCGGAAGCGCTGCGCCCCATGCTGAGCATTTCAAGTTGGCTATCAAATGGCGCTAATCGCTAATCGCTAACCGCTAATCACCACGCGACTTCAATTTCAATTTCAATTTCAACAACAACATTTTAAAATCAAAAAAGTTTCTCTAGACCAGCAATTTGCTGGCTTAGCTGACTTTGTCATCCGGCTTGTAATTCAATACGAGCAGCAAGCCTATCTAACTGGAGCCCACCTTGAGTCGAAGGGTCAGCTCTGGGCTTAACTGCAGATACAACTATTGAAAGCTGTTACGACTCGTAGTTACTCTGTGCCAAGTTTGAATATGAATTCAAATTGGTTTCTGCCTTTGGTTATTTATGCTCAAAGCTTGCATTTATGAGAATCGCAGAGTAGAGCGAGTGCAGAAAACAAGCAAGTGAGTCTTGCTGCTGATGATATGTTCTGTGTTCTGCTAGGTTGTGCAGCTGAGCAACTATGAATCAAGTTGTATATAGCTTGAGGCGTGGCAAATGCCTTAAATAATTTTGCATTGAAATCCCTTTCATGATCTAGTTTTTAACTCAAATATATATTATATATTAAGTGAGATATGATCAAGTGATATCACGCTTTATGTATCAAAGCTTCCAGCAAATCTAGTTTGAATATCAGACATATATATATTTAACAGCTATAGAACTCATATCAGATCTGCTTGATGTGTTTGAGCCATTTGAGAGCGTATTTCGAGTGCGTTTTCTGCGCAATTGGCTTGTAGACATTTTTGGCTTTTGGCTTTTGTGTGTCAGTTGTAAATTAATGGATAGAAATTTTCTGCTTTTTTTTTTGTTGCGTCGCTTAACCATCGAATGTTTTGTCTAGCTGTTGGGGCGTGAGGCGGTAGCGGGCGGCTCTGCGCTGTGGGCCACAAACGAAAATGGCAACTGGCGTTGGCTAAAAATGTCGCACTGATGTCACACGCTGTTGGCAAAGTGCGTTGTAACTATGTGAGAGAGCGGCACACACACACACACACACACACACACACACACACACACACACACACACACACACACACACACACACACACACACACACACACACACACACACACACACACACACACACACACACACACACACACACACACACACACACACACACACACACACACACACACACACACACGCTTGCACGTACGCATAATGGCAACAGCAATAAGAAGTTTTATGACACAGGCGCGTCTCCAAGCTCGTGTCTCTGAGTGGCAAGTGTCACAAGTTGCGCCCTCGTCAATGTCAAGTGGTCCAAGTGGCCAAGTGGCCAAGTGGCACCACTAAAATTCCACAGGCACATAGCTAAGTGGCCATATGTGTGTGTGAGGCTGGGCATGGGCCTAGGCATAGTTATTGGCTGCCAGCTGGAAAATCTCAAATCGCGCCCAGTTTTAGCGTCAATTCCTAGCGTCATAAGCGGCGTATGCGCGATCAACGAACACCAGCAGCAGCGGCAGAGCTGTGAATGTAAACAAACAAATGCTGTGGCAGCCATTTGAAGGTGTGTGTGTGCGTGTGTGCTAGCTGGCCTTTTACACATTCGTTTTATGTAGTTTCTTGCCCTGCTTTTATATTTTCGTTAGCTGTGATTCATTCACACCACAGCATCCAGCAGCAGCAGCAGCAGCAGCAGCACCGCAACAACTACAACAACGAACGGCATGTGGTGGCAGAGCTCTGGAATGGACTTTTGACGTGGCCAACCCAGCAGCCAGCCACGAGACATCAGTCGACGCTTGCCAGATGCTCTACCAAATGAGAGCCAACACAAAAATCTTTTCAAAAATCAACAAAATATTCGCTCGCGATTTCAATTGGCAGCAAATAATGAAGCCAATATATATAGAATTACATATTATATTAATTATTAAACATTTTAGCCTCTATGCTCGTTCACAAACTGAAAAGAGTATATTAGCTATGTGCAACGTTCGTCTGTCTGTTCTTAGACAAAGATTATTTCTCTATGTTTAAGTAAACAAAAAAAAAAGAACTTTATTTTTAAAGGTGTTATTGAAGCTGAATTATTTAGAGAAACTCCGCATCCGGTTGGCGTAGCAGATCGGTAAAAAAATACATAGCTTCTGTTGACCTTCTACGCATAGATCTTTGAATTACATGGTGCACTGAGGTGGGCGTGGCAAAAGCTATTTGAGCCGTGCAAGAGTATTATGAAGTCAGACGCAACCGTTTGGATTTACATTATTTTTCTATAAAAATTACTCATATTTTCTTTTTATTAATTTAGTTGCTTTTATTTGTCTGTTTTAAATTATTTAGTTATTTATTATTATATATTAATTATGACTAAATATATTTTATAAAAACAACAAATTGCCATACAATAATATTAACATTTATGTATAAACAACGGAAAAAAAAATAAAAAATATATAAAAATAAAAATAAAATAAAATAAGCAAAACGTAATATTTAATTAAATTTAATTCTGAGCTGTATTTTAAGTAATAATTATAAATAAAATAAAATAAATTTTATAATTGCAAATAAAAAATAAAAATAATGAATTAATTTTAAAAATTAGTTTTATAATTGAAATTCTTAATTTTAAAAATTAATTTTAAAAATGTAATTCTTAGTTTTAAAAATTAATTTTATTAATGAAATTCTTAATTTTAAAAATTAATTTTCCTAATTTCAAAAATTAATTTTAAAAATGAAATTCTTAGTTTTAAAAATTAATTTTATAAATGAAATTCTTAATTTTAAAAATTAATTTTCTTAATTTCAAAAATTAATTTTAAAAATGAAATTCTTAATTTTAAAAATTAATTTTAAAAATGAAATTCTTAATTTTAAAAATTAATTTTAAAAATGAAATTCTTAATTTAAAAAAATTAATTTTAAAAATGAAATTCTTAATTTTAAAAATTAATTTTAAAAATGAAATTCTTAATTTAAAAAATTACTTTTAAAAATGAAATTCTTAATTTGAAATTGCGTAAATTGCTCAGCTGTTGTTTTTTATTTAACTATATTTCCATATATCCATCCTTTGGCGTTGGGCATTACGCATACGCCACGTAGCGCGCATTGAAATCCAATTGAAATCGCTGCTAACTTTTGTTTATGTTTGATTTCTTTGATTTCATATTTATCATAGGTATATAAAAACATGTATTTATATATCTATTATATCTTTAGAGTAATGCATTCAATAGGATATTACGCATACGCCATGCAGCGCGCATTTAGATTGGTGCTAACTTTTGTTTATGTTCTGTGAGTTGTTTGACTGTTTTCAATGTGAGCACAATGACATGCATTGCCAACTGTGTGTGTGTGTGTGAGTGAGTGTTTGAATTTCATTGCCTATACCCACACACTCAGACACACACCAACACAGCCAGCACATGAGCAGAGCGCTGCGGCATTTAATTTCCTTCTTTTATTTTGTTTTTGGTATGTTTATGCTAAAGAATAGCAAGAACAACAACAACAACTACAAGAGAGATCAGCCACGTGGGTGTGTGTGTGTGTGTCTGTGTGTCTCTGTGTGTGTGTTTAGATGGGAGTAGCCATTGCTGCTGCCACCGCCGCCACCGCCGATTCGGTGGTCTCTGAGCATCCTCAACGGAAATGGTTATTCAGTCAGAGATGGAACGTCGTGCGCCGAGCTGTGAATTCGCTTAACTCGAAACCTAACCGTAACTAGTCAGTGCAAGTGCACCTGTTCACGCGCCCACCTTGATCCCATATCAAGTCCCCAAATATATATAGTGAATATTTGTTTAAATTCTTAATACACGTTCACAGCGTGAACCGCGTGGAGCATATTGGTTTTCGCGTGTGAACATTTTGCGTTTGTGTTTTTTGTTTTTTTGTTTTTTTGTTTTTTTCTTGCAACACTTAGCGGGAAATTCTGCGCACAGCTGGCGCGAAAATTCTTTGGGAATTTGCAACAAGTGCAGCCAGCTCCAACTGCTCACAGCGAATCGTTGACCGGAACAATAACAACAACAAAACTGAGCGAATGCATTCCACGGCATGCGGCGTTGGCGCCTCTGCCACAAATCTAGCCTCGCTGCAAACGTAAGTCATTTATCATTAATTCCTCCTGCCTCTTTTTTTTTTAAATATGCCAGATTTAGCCGGAGCTTAGTTCCGCAGAGCAAGTGAGCAAACGATTTATACTATGTATATAAACAGCTTTGTTCATTGAAATAGTAGTGCGCCTGAGCCCCAATCTCCAAAATGCATCCTAGCCTTAAGTAACGGCACTTTTTTCGCAATTCTCTTCTTTTCATTCCATCCTAAACAAATATTGGCCACCTTTTTATTTATCGTCGGAAAAATACCCTTTCATTTGGCCGTAGTGCAGCACTACTATTTTTATGAACACAACTAGAAATATATGTCCGTATATATATGTCTTCCTTTCTGCCAATTGTTCCCATATATGTATATATAAGATGTTGCGTTTTAAGCTGTTGTCTTGCTAGAATAATGTAGCGCGCGATTCTTCTGCTTGCCCGACTAACACATACCCTGACCAGAGCTGGGCGCAACTTCGAAGTTAACTGTGAATTCTATTTTATTCATCTATTCACAAAAAATATATTTCGCAAAAATTTCACAAAATTTGCTATAAATTCTGAGCAAAAGTCACAAATTATTTATTAAATAATTTTACTCCCAATAATAATTAAAGCTTTATGAACACTTTTAAATGCGTCTATTTATATAGAAAATATATAAGTTTTTGTGTGTAACATTTACTAGCTGTGCTTAAATAACTTGTGTGCTGCTAGTTATGACGCACAAAATAATGTAAAACTATCGATTCTAATCGATAATCCGCAGCAATCTATATATTTAATTAAGCATCTCTGACTCCCATGCTCTGCTAGCTATTGCCTAGAAACAGTATGAACGCATCGATTTTTATCGGTATCGATCACAAAATAATAGACTTGATCATACCAGAATATTCTGGTATAGTCTTTGATATGTATATGCAACATATACACACATACATATATATATATATATATATATCATCATAACAGTAAATATTTAGTAAGGCAAATTATATTAAAGATTATAGATTACTTCAAGGCTTTATTGGGCGATCTTTAAAGATAAAGATAAACAAATGAGTTGATGAAACATGGGCATGGGGCAAG